GAATAGTAATTTAAGCCTCTTTTGCTGTAAAATTATTAATTTGCTTTCTACACTTTTATTTTACGGTGGAAAGTAATATATGTTGTAGTATATGTTGTAATATGTAGAAGTAATAGTAGTAGTAGTATTTGTAAAAATGTTCACCAGTCTTCATCATTTTTGTTTTAGGATAATAGAGCGAGCCCTATAACGCAGGTCGATTTTCTAAATAATTTGTCAAAAAAACAAAAATGTTACAAAATTTTTGCAAACACATAATGTAATGCATATTTATGTCTGAGTGTTATAGAAAAGAAAGACTAAAAAACAGGATTTGACATCCTTTCATTGTGGAACATTGAAAAATAAAGCTAATTGTTCTATTTATTGTAAAAGAGTTTAGAGAACCATATTTATTTTTAAGAATTAAATGAAATTTAAAAACTATGATATATGTTATGTCTAATACAGCTTACGTTAATTGTCTAATACGTGCGAGCAAGAATTGCGAAGTCTGAGTCGGAAAAATTTGTTCAACTGGAACTACTTAAAAGTTAAAAGTTACTATAGGCTATTAGAGGAAACAAATATAAAAAATAAAAAAAAATAGTTGCAAATAGTATGTGAACAAAATATTTCTCAAATGAATATTATGACAATGACATAAATCATAACTTATTTCGAATCTAATTTATTACATTTGAATGATTTTTATATTGTGTTTGATAAAACTATTGAAAAATTAAATAAATTTCAAAAATAAATTTATTTAACTCAGTTGAAAAGTGAATTTAAAAGACATGTAATTGTAAGTGATGCATGTCTATTATCATATTTGACATAGTTTTTTATACATAGAATATTTTCTAAAGAATCTTCTTGTCATAAAATATTTACAAATATGCTATTGTAAGATATCAATGTCTAGTTCCTTTCTAATAATGGTTCAGCACAATTTCCATAATTTGAATGTTATGTTATGCATGTTTTGTTATGTTACAACGAATTTTTAAATTTTGAAGCTATTTTTCAAAGAGAAAACTTTATATTCCTCAAAAATTTAAGTGAGGAGTTAAATAATGTGCTTTGTCCCTTCTGATATTTAGACATACGTGAAGACAAAGTCAAGTAAAATTGGTAATTTTAGAGAAAAACAAAAGCTATTCTTTCTCTACTTTGCAGCTATACACCAAATAGGAAACTTTATTTTGTTCCGAAATCAAATTAAACTGGTGATTAGCGTGCCTTTTAGCATTTGGAAAAGTAAAGTGTAAAGTAGAAGAAATATTTTATTTCCAATTGTCACTCTATTTTCCGGGTAGAAAACTTTATTTTCTTCCAAATTTTTACGAGGGGACGGACAAAGTGCTTTGCCCCTTCTGAAATTTTGACGTGCGGGAAAACTAAAGTCAAGTAAAATCGGTTATAAAAAAAGTTTCATCTTTTAAGCTATTTTCCAAGTAGAAAACTTTATTTTCTTTTGATATTAAAGTGAGGGGCAAAAATGTGCTTTGCCTCTTCAGAAATTCAGACATTCGCAAAAATAAATTCCAGTAAAATTGGTAAATTTAAAAAGATAAAAAACATTTTTTTTTTAAAAAAACAAACATTGAAGTTATTTTCTAAATAGAAAACTTTATTTCCCCCTAAGTAAAAAGTGACTCTCTGCTTCTCATCTTCTGCAATTTAAGCATTATCAGAATAAAATTAAGTAAAGTTGTTAATTAAAAAAAGAAAAAAAGTTTTTTTTTTAATCTTCGAAGCTATTTTCTAAATAGAAAAACTTTATTTCCTTCTGATATTAAAGTAAAGGGGGTCAAAAATGCTTCGTATCTTCTGAAATTTAGGCATAAAATCAAGAAAAATTGGTATTTTTTTAAAAAAAATCTTTGAAGCTATTTTCCATATTTTCCAAAAAGAAAATTTTATTTTCTTCCTACGCTGTTAGAAATTAATTTACTGAACAAAAAATTTAACACATTAGTTTTAAAACATAGAATTTAAACTTTTTTAGTAGATATTACTAAAACTAATTTAATGTCACATGTTACCCTGATCCAAAATCTTAATGGGGAAAATTATGAGAAATTTATATTTTAGTTATAAAGGTAAATGAAGTATGGTATGTTATTCCTCCTTTATAATAAAATTTGTAGATAGAGAGTAATCGGTCTTTCTCATTTTGCTATTACTATTTTTCATAATTTGTTTGTATTTTTTTTTAAAGTATAATAATTTTTAAGCATTTTTATTTGCAAAACATTTTTGTTCTTCAAAAATGTGCATGTAGCTACAGAGATAAAACTTATCAAGTTCTTTTTCCCTTCGTATTTTTTACTTACTTTATTGTATGACAATTATTCTTAAAAGAATGTAGGGTTGTACTTTTAAGCCAAATCATGATTTTTGAATTATAGATGTATGGAGTACGAAAGTTTTATAAGAATTTTAAAGTGGTTGAACATAATATATTGTGAGTCTCAGATTTATATAGGGCTCTTTTTTTTCTTACTTTTTTAAGTTGAAGATTTAATTTATAAGTGCATTATTTCCAGAAAAGATAATATTGATGAATTATTGTTTTGAAATATTAAATTTTTGAAAAAAATAACTTTTCCATTTCTCTTAAAGTGATTACCGTTTTAGAAAGAAAAAAAAATATTTGTAGCTAATTAAATTTTTCCTTACAATCATGACATATATTCTTTCAAATCAAAACTTTTGAGCAATGCCGTTGTTTAAGCTCAAATTTAAAAGCTTAAAATATAGGGCTACATCTAAATTACTAAAAACATCTTATTTTTAAACTTTATATTAAAGTAAAATTTCTTTATCAACCCAATATCAATGAAAATAATGCTGACTTTGAAATAACTAATTTCATTTTATGTATTTAATAACTTCATTTTTAAATAATTCAAATACTTTAATTTTATATTCTGTATTACGATAAATTATTTAAATCAGAGCAGATTTTCAATTGTAAAACTGCAACTTTATTCAATTATTATCTATTTATTACGTTGTTGATCGAAATAACTTTGTTTAATTTTCTTTAACGGTTATATTATATTTACATAATAGTTATTTTACAATAAACAATTGCAGTGTGATGATTACAAAAACCATAGAGAGAACTAGTTTATGAAATACATTGCAACTTCAAATTTAATCCAGGTTTAGCCCTTCCTTTACATGCATCATATATAATTGAATTAAATATAAGCTTACCTCCAAATGAATGTAACTCTTTTAAGGTGTTTTTTGAACTAATTCAAAAACTCAATTTTAAAATAATTAAATAAATAAATTATTTTCAAAAAAAGGTTTCATGATTCAAATATTGGAAAAAATATTATTAATAATAAATAAAACGTGAATAAAAGGAAAATACAAAAATATACGCAAAAAAATGGTCTACAAAGTTAAAATAAAACTGTATTTAAAAAAATATACTAAAGGCTCTAAGGACAACCAAAAAAAATTTGCTCAAAATTTGAGCTCATCACAGTAAGTTTCTTGACAGAATGTCGAGAAAGTGCTTGATTTGAGAGCCAGCCTTAAAGTTAGAAATGTGGTGTAACTACCACTATAAATATTAAATACCAATTCACTAGTATATAACACATGTTAACTTGATTTTATCATGAGGTACCTTTTGATAGCTGAAGGTTGTCATAGTCGATTTATAATTCCCCACATTGGTGACCTACAGACGTGATAAAAAATTCTCAATATTGATGGATAAATCCACATTTAACAGTTGATTTGTTTAAAAAAAAAAATATACTACTCGGAAAAAAAAAAAAACAAGAAATCCGGTGAAGTAAATAAAGTCTCCCGGTTAATAAATAATAATGAGCGAAATGCTAGAAAAAAAATAATAATAGCGAAAAGCTATAAAAAAAAATGATGGGAAAAAATAGCGAAAAGCTATAAAATAATAATAAAAAAAAAAAAAATAACGAGCGAAATGCTTGAAAGAAAAAAATGAAAAAATATAATGAGCAAAAATTGAAGTTAATAAATAAACAGCATTAATCAACTAGTGGTAATTGTTCATCGAATCCTATCACAGATAAAATTCTGGAAGGGGAGTAATGTGGTGTAACGACCACTATAAATATTAAATACCAATTCACTAGTATATAACACATGTTAACTTGATTTTATCATGAGGTACCTTTTGATAGCTGAAGGTTGACATAGTCGATTTATAATTCCCCACAGAACCACTCAGAGCACCCTCCATTCACTGGTTACATCTTATTTCAGTCCTAAAAAGGCGCCCCTAAAATTCTAGGAAATTTTCCATGTGAGGCATTTATAACCAAATTTAATTTAAAAATATCTTTTCCTTTACCCTATAGATATTCCCACATCCCACACTGTCCCTTAAAAATGAAGACCCATTCCGAAGCTATCAAGATAAATATAGATAAAGCAGAGTATTTTGAAGCTGTGAAAATTTTCCCATCGTAAAAAAGGAATTGGCTTGGTATACCACAAGTAGGAATACTTCGGTATCGTTCAGAGGGAAGAACAAATATTTTATATTTTTGAACGAGGAAGAGGTTCACATCGATGTCGTTAAAATGTTGTTTTTTACCAAATAAAGGAAATAAAAAAAACTTGAGACTAGTTTTTTAATGAGTAGTTTGAGAAAATATTAAAAAATATCATTAACAATTGAGGGGTGTTTAATCGCTCGTGATGTGTGAAAAATTGAGAAAACGTGAGAAAAACTCGCCAATCAGGTTCTCGTTCGCATCTCCGAATAAGCACCTGATTTTTTTGTTTCAGTAGGAATGGCCATTTCAGATTCCACAAAATTGGCAGTTTAGTAAGAATAAGGTATTTGCAGAATTATTTGTTGCTGTATTCCAGTTATGAAAGTTTAACTGTCTCCAGATTCAACCGTTTAGTAAATATAAACAAACTAATAAACCTTAAAACGATGTCTGAATCAATTGCAAAAATTGGACTGTATTTTGACGATTTAAATAAAATTTGTGTTTTAGATCCTGAAGCTAGTCAAAAAACTAATGCTTTGAAAGAAGAATGTAAAGAATATGTTAGCAGTAAGTGAATTTTTGAAATATACATATGTTCTGCTTTATTGATTATTACAACACTCTGATGATTTAATGTTAAATTTATTGGTTATTTTTGGTATAGAATTTAATAAGCAAACGACACATCAGTATTAAAAAAATGCTAATGAATTAAAGGTAATTGGTTGATTTGTAAAACTTGTGGCATAATTTTAAGAGATTGAAAAAGTAGGCCTTTACATCTCTGAGTCATTATACAGGGCTGCCAACTTTTAATCCCGTTTCAGGAAAAAAAATTTCTGCTGGTAACTAAGTCTATGTTTAAACCCCCACTTATTTCCGTATCGTAATCTGTCACACCAAAATAAAACATTACAGAAGGTAACCAAATTAAAGGTATAAGGGTGTTGATTGCTGCTGCGAAAAAAAAAGAGACAAATTTTGGTGACAACTGGGCAGTGACATACGAGAAACTAAAAAGATTGCAAAATTAATATAAGTTATGGTTAGGTCATAGAAAAGATTTCCTCTTAGATTGGGTATTATAATTTGGAACTTTTACTGTACAATAAAATTTTTCATATTCTTTTTATTTAAATTTCTTATATTATGTGTGTCTGAGTAACTGAACGGTAAAAATCATTGCCCTGGTGAAGTAGAGTTTCTATCCTTCGATATGGAGTATATATATGCGGTTTAAGCTTTACAAGCGAACATTTACATTTTGATTCAACTGCTATTGACAAAGTTCGTCTTTCGGAATCAGTTAAGAAACTATCACTGCTAGTTGAAAATTCTACTATTAATTCTATTCGTCAAATATAGCTAAATAACTAATGCAGAAGGTAATTTTCATAGTTCTAAAAGTAAATATCAAGATTTAAAAGCTAATTATCAAAGAAAAAATTGCAAATGGTGTCCCGTACAGCCACTAATATCCCAGGGATATCCAAAGATGTCTGTTACTTATGATGTCTGTCTTTCGGAATCAGTTAAGAAACTATCACTGCTAGTTGAAAATTCTACTATTAATTCTATTTGTCAAATATAGCAAAATAACTAACGCACAAAGTAATTTTCATAGTTCTAAAAGTAAATATCAAGATTTAAAAGCTAATTATCAAAGAAAAAATTGCAAATGGTGTCCCGTACAGCCACTAATATCTCAGGGATATCCAAAGATGTCTGTTACTTTACCAACTATCCAGTGGATATGTTACAAACTTCTTACAGATATCTAAATACATCTAAATCTATGGATTTAGTCATTTTGGATATCTCTGAGATATCATCTATGGATAGCTGGAGAATACAGTTATTTGGATGTTATAAAGATATCTAGACATATAAATGTCCTATATATGGATATTTTGTTCATCTCTTGGATTTTTACTATTGATATGTTTTAGACATGGATATTTGGATGTTTATAGAATATCTGAGAGGTGTTTCAAATTATATTTAATATCCTATGCAGATCCAGTTTTGGGATATTTTAGAGATTTAAGACATTGATTAGATTCGACCGATTTACTAGTTAAAAATGTATAAATCGTTAAATGATTTCTTGACATTAATAAAGAACAATCATTATTTTTATTTTCAATTTAGATCCACTAATATTTTAATTTGTGACCACAATTATTTTTTTATTTACATTCCAGTGTAAACAAACTGCAGACCCACATTGTCGCGTTGTGGCAATGGTTTTATTTCATTAAAGTTTGAGTGTTTTTTTCCCCATAAGTATGTGTGTTATGAAATGTTAAGTTGTTATAACTCCATTTCTTATTAAATATTTTAAATCAAATACTATTCTTAAATTGGTACTCTTGGATATTAAAAAATTAAATTTCAGCGTGTGTCATCAACTACTAAACTTCATAATTGGGATTTACGTATAACAATTTTACTCCAAAGAATATAAAATGCTTTTAACTATGATTCCAGTATTAAATGTGATTCAAGAACTGTAACATAGCAAGTTTGCATCAATTTTAAAATAGTGTGAGATATAGTAAAAACATTAAACAGTTGTCTGATGTAGACTATAACTATTGACTGTAATTCTATTTCTCTTCAAAAATTTATTTCATACGCTTGTATATTACGTTGAATTGATAAATTTTTACCTGTTTATGAAAAGAAATCTTTGTGACAAAATTTAGAATGTGTCACTTAAGAGAATTGATACTTGACGGGCTTGGCTTACTCAAAATAGAATGGAAAGAGTAGTTGCAAATGTAAACAAATGCCTAGTTTCAACAACCAATCAGAATCGAGATACCCACACTACATCACGTGTATCCCGTTAAATGTGATCGTACGTGATGTTAGATCATGCTCATCTATTTAATTAATAGACCAAAGATACATAAATGCATATTCTGCCCTTTTTTATACCTAGGGAGAACTCTGTTTATATCATTGTGTAAATTCTCTTATCATAGCTTTTTCATAGTTTTTAGATGCTTAAATTTTTTGTGGTTATTTTATTTACTACCAATATTTAAATGTCCATCATAAACTATTGTACTAGTACTTTTAATTTGTGCAGCCACCTCAAAAGATCTGGAATAAATATATGCCAGAATGTATACAGGTACAGTTGTTTGTTTTCTACTCAGGCATATTTAAAGAGAACATAATTTGTGATGTTCGAATGTAATTTGTTAAGTATTTTCCAATCTTGGAAAATAATTTCGTAACATCAGTTATATATGAATGAAAAGTTATAATGTACAATTTCTTTCGTAGTATTTGCGAAATTTATTTTTTAGATAAAGATAAATAAAAATAATTTAAATTCGCTATTTTTAAAAATATTTTTATAAAAATGATTTCAACGTTGATTTTTTGTTCATGTTTATTCTGGATAGATTATTAATATAATGTGTCTTTATTTTATTAATATAGTCTCATTAATTACTTTCGAACATTTGAAAATTGCTGTTCTACTTTTCCCTTCTTTTAATTATTGGTTCTCAATGTATCATTTAAAAATTAACTTACTAATAAAAGTTACTTTTATCCATTTAGAAATATCTGAGTTTCAAACTGTTGTTAATGGATTTCTTCAAATATCTGACAGTTTGGCTACTGAAGTTGAAAAATCAAAACTTAAAGTAAGTAGTTAATTTTGATGTTAAAATAAGCAGTGCCCAAAAATATTTTTAACATTATGAAGACTTGTCTACTCTCAATCTATAGACCTAAGTTTCGGGTATTTGTATCCAGTCTTAGGATCTCAGAGTATTTTCTCATGCTTTTCAACTTATCAGTGTATGAATAGAAAGTTCCTTGAACAAATTGCATACCGTCTTCAAAATTATCCTCAAGATCGCTCATGTGAGCAATTTTTTAGTGCTTTACTGTGCTATGGCATATTAGAACAGATTTTAAGTTCCGGAAACCCTTTTGAGACCTGTAAATTCCAGAATCTAACCCAGTCCAAGTTAGGGGTAGTAATTACAAATAAGCTGTTACAGGATTCTTAAAATTGGAATAAAGGGTGAAAGCGCATGCGGGGAGGAAAACCCATAAAGAGAAGTTTATTTGATAAATGAAGAAATTTTCTTAAAAAGTAAAAAATATGTGGAGATTTGGTGATTATGCAGACATTTATAAATTAAGTGCTTTGAATTTTACTGGCTGCTAAAAGTTGATTTAGGTAATGTTTAGTTAATGTAGAAAATATCAACTAATAATAGTCGCAAAATTTTTATTTAAAAATAACGTTTGGAAATAATTTCGTTATCTTATCTGTATTTTACTGGTAAGAGATATTTATGTAATGTCAACATATTAAATAACTTTTTTAACAAATTTGTATTATGTACCCTACCATTTTGGAAACTAAATAAATTTCAATTTTACACATTTTTATTTATAATTATTTTTATAACAGATTTTGGTTTGTGATTTCGAACACCTAAATTTTGGCTTTTTGACAGTAATTGCCAAAACAAAAAGGTGGTTTAATGTCAAAATGTTTACAGTCAAATGTACTTTTATTTACAATTATTTCATAACAGCTGAGGGTTATTTTTTACCACCAAATTTAGTGTTTTCAAAAACCATGTCAAAAAGGGGTTTTTGATTTTTGGTATTATGGTTAAAATGGGATAAAACCGTCAATTGTGAAAAACGTGTTAACTCTGCAATAAATACACAATTTTTTCTACAAAAGCTTCTAATACTTATAGTAAATTTATTAATTTTAAATCCTTACTCTTTTATTACTGTTTGTGTGCTTACATTTTAATATCATTATTTAACTGTCATGCCATTATGGGCATTACATATTTCATTCTATGTAACATCTGTGAGATACTTTTATTGTTGTTTTCCATCTTGTTGACAGGCTATAGGCTCAAGGAATTTATTGAAATCGATTACTAAGCAAAGAGAAGCACAACAACAACAGTTGCAAGCATTAATTATAGAGAAAAAACTACAATTGGAGAGGTAAGTGATTTAAAATTTGAAAAAAAGCGTTTAGGATGCAAAAATTTTTTCACATCTAATTTTATCCTCCATTGTTTCAGATTAAAAGTACAACACGAATCTTTAAAGAAGGAAGAAATGGAGCAAAATGAATTAATAGAACAATTTTTACTGCAAAAGTAATTAAAATAAAAATGTTTTATTAAAATATATTTTGTTGTAAATATATATATACATATCTTAATATATCATGCACTTTCCTTGTACTGACTGTGATATAAAACATCATTTCTAGAACATGTTAGCAACACAAATAAAGAGTTATCACAATTATATTTGGCATTTTTTTTATAAAAGAAAATACATTCAAATTACATCAAAAAATTGCACCATGCTAATGTAGTGATTTTATACATTATATATTTTCTACATTAAATTCCATAATACATTACTTTGATAAAAACAAAAAAATATTCTAAGAAATAAACAGAAGATTTTTTTTAAAAATTTAATAATCATTATAGAGGTAGTCAGTCAATTTAACCAAATGTATATCTTGTAGATTATCAGGGGCCCAATATGGAAAAAATTGACTATCAGGCAATCAAAATATTAGAAAAAATAAATAACAAGAAAAAAATACATGTATTTATTCATAGCTTTAAAAAACTACAGTAAATAATGTTCATTCAGAGTGTTCTATAAATATTGGTGCACTTCCATATTATACACTTATTGTTTGTGTCATTTAGAACTTTGGTTTAATAAAAAACATTGCAAATGACAGTAATAATTAAATTGTTTCCTGCTGATATGCAATCAGATATTTGTTTTATCAGTTCCAAGGTTCATGTTCAAAATGAAAATTTTTTCCGTGACCTTTTCCAGGGTCCATGACCCTGAACTTATAAGGGAGGCTCACCTTGCCTGTCCTTTGATCCCGATATCCTTGCCCTTTTGATTATTAACCAGAGTTAGGATTTATTTTGAAAAGTATTATTTTTTTTTCAAGACACTGCAAAGAACGAAAAGTATTTAAAGTCTAAAAATGATCTGTACAATTGTTTAGCAATAAGTATTACACAGTAAGTTTTCGATTATCATCAGTGTGGTTCTAGGACAAAATTTCCTCCAGAAAAATCAATTCTTTTTTCACTTTAAGATGCTCTCTTCTATAATTTTTTCTTCTGAGATTATATCCTCATAATATTTTATCCTTTGGCTACAGAAGATCTTAACTGAACACTCTGAAGTTTTCTGTATTTTTTTTATATATAGTAATGATAAATTTGTTTTCCAATACAAACAAAACAGTCTTTTAGTGTCAAAAAATAAATTCATTCAATAGAATAACTTGCGAATAATTCATAAATTTATATATTTATGACTGCCAGTGGGAAGGCAACCACAAATGAGTGAACTTTGTAACCACATGACCTATTTTAAGAGCTGGAATTTGCCCATGTTTGTTGTAATCAAGGGGGAGAAAAAGTAAAGAAGTCTCAGAAAAAACTCAAACACATAAGTTGCTTAAAGAAAATCTAGTGAGCTAAATTTCTTAATTTTTAGATTTTGTGGCAAAACAAATACAAAGCACATAATTTTTTTCTGGAATCATTGTCATTCAAGATTTTTATTTAAGTAGCAGGTAAAGAGAATTAATTTAACGAAAGATTTTCCAAGCACAAAATCTTAATTACTCAGTAAAAAAACTATCAACTAAATCTTGGTTATTAAAAATGATTTTTTAAGTATTAACAGTTCAAAAGTCTGCATCCTGTATAGGACAGTAAGCAATACTGCCAATAATTGGACGATTAGACAGTCCATGATATCTGCACCTCAATAATTTAGCTGATGCCTTTGGTTGTCTCTCTCTAGTGAAAATTCCTTTCTTGTTTCCTACAACCCTGTTTATTTCTGAAAAGATAATTAAACATAAAGATAAATTTCTTTAAAAAAATTATATATGAAATTAAATTGGAATGATAAGATATAGGGTGCCACTCTTCAGTCTTAAGAACTGAAATCAGCCTTGAGAAAAATCTATAGACTAAATCCCATCAATTAATATCTCTGTCCCATTAGTTTTTTTTAAATTAATTTTTTTTTCATTAGGGATATAACATATTTTTTGTTAAAAAATCATTTTAATAATTTTTTTAACAACTATTGCAAAAGGATCAAGTAATGATATCACACTGCAATAAAAGAATGGTGCATTATTTATCCTCCTTATTAATTGCTTTGCCAGCCTCGCTAAATCTTATCCTTAAAGTCTTGACAAATGGGATTTTATGGATTGGATGAAAATTGAACTTTATCTGCTTGTCTGAACAATTTCTATTGCTGATTCTAAATCTCCTTGAGTTTGAATCCACCCTAACATATTGACATGCTGGCCAAAGTTTAATCAAGATTATTTTATTAAAAAAAAATAAATACAAATAAAGACAAAAAATAAATAATGGTGAAGTGAAAAATAGAGATATGAGGTTTCAGGAAAAAAATTAGTGATTCTGTGACAGGTGTAAAAAGATATGCACGGTTAGCTGTTATTTTTGTTTTGTTTTTTAAAAAAAAATAGTTATTTTTATAAACAAAAAACTTCTGACTGATTGTAATATGGAGGCTATCATCAAGGAAAGGTAAATTTTGGTGTCAGTGAGCTTTACATTTCTGAAAATTCCAGCAAACAACACTAGACTGTGTTAATTGGTCAAAAAATAAGTCCAGTCTTAAAATTTTTTAGAGTGACACCCATAGATATAAAATATATAAACTAACTTGTGACAAAATTAATTCAATAACATTATGACATTGCTGTTTTTTCCCCTTAACTTTTACCCCTAACACTAATGAAAACAATTAAGTTTCATTAATGTTAGCAGCTCTTAATTTCCACAAACATTTAAAGCAATATTATTTTTAAAAGTAACATTAGCTTTTTGGAGGAATTAAAAAAATTGATCCAGAAGGAAAGTTCGAGATGCATATAGAAGGTGTAATAAAATGAAATATCTTCAATAGATTGCTAAGAAAAATCACATTTTAAAGGGTAAAAGTCACATTCTATAAAAATGGTAAGATTATTAATTTTTGTACAAGATAAGTTGCATATAAACAATTGGAAAAATTTGTAGATAATCCATATTTGTTTGATCTTTTCTAAAGGTAAAAATTAAGATAAACAAGCAAACCCTTATCTCTTGGAACTAATGAGTATAATAAATGTGGTTGGGTTTATTGTCACAGAACTGTTTTGATTATTTATTCTTATCCACCTTATTATTTCATCAAGATTTTGATTTTTGTATTTATCTTTAAAAACATAATCAATAATTTACTTCTACTTTGTATCTGAAACTGCATCAACTAAAGAAATATTATCTGGAAAAAGAAAATAATTCTATGTTTTCATTGAATATTGCACTGAATATTTGATTTATCATATAGACATTACTTGTGTAGCAGGACAAATAAATAGCAAAGATGATATATAAATATAGATGTACAGTGCATGAAATAAAAAAAAAATGGAACAGCCTGAATAACTTTTGATCTAATGATCACATTTTCCCATACCAGGACTCAATCTTAATGATTCAAGGGCCCAAACTCAAATATGCTAATTAATTAGGGTAAGCTATATTTTAAGTTTGAAAATCAGACACTAAATAAGAATTCTTTTTTACCCTACTGATTTTGAATTTTTAACTATCAAATTTGAAGGGTAGTCGCAATCAGGAAAATATTGTCATAATAGTTTTTTCAGAAGTGGGTTTTAAAGTTTGGATTCCTGAGTGTTAATTTTACTCTTTTACGTATTTCGTCTTATCTCAAGAAATTTTTACACCAAATTAATTTTTTTTAACTCGAATTAAGAAATATTTGCACACAATTATGGCATTCCTTTATCCAAAGATAATTTCATACAAAAAATAATTTTTAAATTTATTTATTTTGAAATATTTTATTTAATAATGGTTGATAAAAATTTTAAATTGTGAGGTATAAGTTTTTTTCCTTTGAAAGAATGTAATTTAAAATGGCAAAATTCAAAACTTGAATACAATAGTTCAAAAAGTTTTAGAATTCTAAAATTTTGAAACAGTTGTACTTTCAAATTTATTTCTCAAGAACTATTTGACCAATTTCTTTCAAATTTTGAATTTATCATATAAAATTAAATTCTTTAAAATGATGTAAAAAATTATATACTTTCGAGTACAAAATTATTTTATTCATTATTAAATAAAATAAACTATTAAAATCATTAAACATATCTTAAAGAACAAAAAAAAAAAAAAACAGTTTTACAACTTAATTGCAATACTAAAGCAAATGATATTCTCTATTGTAATAAGTAAAAACTACAAAATTAAAATTAATATCTTTTTGTTTTCAAAGAAATTTATCTTTGGTATGATAAATAAAACTAATTAAAAGTCGAGCTAATTAGTGTGATGTTAAGAAAATTAAGTAAACGAAATATTTTCAAATAATGTACCCAGTTTTTTACTTAGAAATGTAAATATTTATTTTCATTTTAGTATCTTGAGAAAAATATTCAAAGAGAAAACAAGCAAAGCTCTTTAAAACAATTTATTTGTACTATTCCTTGAAAAAAACTTAAATTATATTAATTAAAAATAATACTAATATTAAAAACTGGTTAATTAAAAAATTAAATTATATTCAAATCAAAGTTATTGTTTGAGTAAAGTGAAAAAGAACGAACATTAAGAATATCATTTTACAAGAGATTTAAATATAAATTTATCTCAATTACTCGGTTGCCTTTTGCCGACAATAGATATATTAATCCATTGCTTCTTTTAAAATTATAAATGCGACAATGGATGCCCATTAACTGACTTTAATTTGAATCCAACCATCAGTTCTTGTAATCAACAGATTTTGGCCATCTTGTGTTAAAATGATTCTGTTAAATCATTATGAACATTACTAGTTTATTCAGTTTTGAATTATTGCATTAGCTCTTTTAAATAGTTAATTAAATTTTCATTACAACTTTAAATAGTTCTCTTTTTTTGTAACTTTATGCAATTTATTTTGCTTCCTGATAGAAAATATGTCTTATCTTTGGTATGTTTGGGGATTTAGCTATTTGATCTGAATGATTTATTTTCTTTGTGAAACATACGCATTTAAACTTCAGTGCTTAATCGTTAAAGGGGGCCATAAAAATGCCAATGCTATTATTGACACCAGTGTTGCTTATTTAATTGTGGTATTGTCTATGTAGGTAATAGATACCGAATATAGTAATATTCGGATAATGCTGCAGTAATAACTTTTAACGACCACCTTTAAGGGATAAGTACTGAAACTTTTACATGATGTAGGAACATAAGTACATATTCTAGAACAATTAACTTACGTTGTAGGGTTAGGAAGTCAGCAAAATTCCATATATGTTCTCCGATGAAAAAATCTTGAGATTTTAAAACATCAAATGCTTTGTGGTGATGCATCATAAGTTCAGTTTGATAATCTTCTGTGAAAATGAACGGTGGATCCTTAAAAAAGAAAAACATTAAATTAATTTCTCTTAAACATGATGGTGAATTTTGGATCTTTGAAAGTGTCTTAAAATTAAAATTTCAAAGACATGACGATAAGAGGTGGTGCAATAAAAAAATTAATGTAAACCATTTTAAAAAAAATTATAAGTCTTACACAATTTATTTTTTTAAGATCAATACAATTAATATGTAATATTTTTTCCTTTATTCCTGTCTCCTTTGATTTCGTTAGGGTCGATTATTTTAATTTAATTTAAATAACAGATTTAACAAATTATTTTAAAAGTGCATTCTTTTTCATATATATAACAGTGCATTTTTAAACTTAGGCTATTAAACTCTGCACTCATTCTTAATGAACAAAGCATAAATTTAGAGATGTATTAATTTTAATGTGATGAATCAGTGAGTCTTCAACAAGCATAAATTTTTGTGCTTTGCAACTCTTTATTGGGCCAATTTTTTAAAGTAATGATTCGTTAAAATAAAATATTTTTAGAATTGTGATTGATTTATAAAATAAATTCGATTAGCTTATCACCTGAAATTAATCCATTTTCAAATTAAAATTGAAAATTGCAGATTAAAATTATGCACTATACATAGAAAAAAATAATACAGTCCAAATCCACTCTCAGGGTTGTCACGGAAAAGAAAAATAGTTGCTTTAAGTAGCCTAAAACATGAAAATAGTTGCCAAAAACTATGAAAATAGTTACTAAAATAATAACGAAAAATTTTCAATAATGTGACTAAAATTTTATTAAATGACTTAATTGTCATATACCGTGATTTATTTAGTCAAGTTAGTAGCAAATATGATAATTTTTATATATACAATAGTGTTCCATCACTAAGTTTTTACATCAAAAAAATTAGCATAATTGCAGAAAATTAAATACTTTCAATTACTTCCTTTTTATCAATANATGAATCCAGAGACATTAAAGTTAGGCAAAAAGCAATTACTCAAATTTGAAATGTACACATCGTAATATGGAATCAAAATTATTTTTTAATTATTTTTTTTAAATCACGCAGAATTTCGCAACAATAACCATTGAAAAGACCGTTATCTAGACCGATCAATAACCGTTGATCTAGAAACCGAATAGACTTACAATGGAATGTGTGCAAATTGAGCACATTAAAAAGTGATGACTCAAATAAATGAGCAATTCAAAATGTTCTACTTCTAAAGAAAAAATTTATTGTGATCAGAAGCTCGGGAGGTTGCCGGTTGTTAACCTAATTTATGCTAAAATCATCGCTAGGAGTACTTAAGTCCCCTAATAGTTTCTTTTTCCTTAAAATAATTGCTTTTTTAGTCTTTCCCATCAAAAAAGCTGCCATACTTGATTTAGGCCAAAAATAGTCGCATTTTAGTTGCCTGTGGCGACCCTGGCTCTAGATTTACAGTTCATAATTAATGGTTGAATTTCTTTTTTAAAAATTGAAACAAGTTAGATTTTATTAGATTTACAACATAGATTAAAACTATGCATTAAACATAATAAGCGACAGTAAGGTCCCATTCCAAACTAATTTTGCAGTTAATATATAATGATTTACCTAAATTCAATTAAAACAAGCACCTAATAATTTATTTGATTAAAACTATGCACAGACATAGATTAAAACTATTATCTCCAACTCCACACTAAGTTTTTCAGTTTATAATTAATGAATAAATATTCAATTCTGAATTAAAATAAGTTATATTTTATCAGATTACAAAGGGATATTAAAACTATAAACAAACTAAATTTTTTGTTGATAAATCAGGATTAAATCTTTTATATTTAATTTAAACGCCATATAGTTTATTATAGCACAAATTTTTAAAACAATAAATTATACTTTGTTATAATGCAATCATTGATTAAAAATATGCATTAAGAATAGAAGAAAAGCAACAAGGATCAACATTAAACTAAATTAGTAGTTGATAATTCTAATTTCAACAAGCTAAATTTAATATATATATTTCAAATTTTTCAGACACATTAAACTTTATCATATTACAAACATAGATTAAAACTATACATTAAAAATAGAAGAAAATCAATAAGATTGAACACCAAACAAAATTTTCAGTGTGTGATTCAGGAATAAATCTCCAATATTTGATTTAAACAAGCTATATTTCATTCTGTTATTAATATAAATTGTAACTAGGGGCTGAAGATAGAAATTACAGAAAATAGGTACAGATCTCTTAAAACCTTTCTTGGAGTTATAGTTCAATTTTTTCCTATAAGAAAAATTGCAATTTTTGAATATATTAAGCTTAAAACTATTTTTCATCACTCTAGAGCCTTATTATTTTCTCTTTTACTTTCAATTTATAATTCAAATTATAATAGGTATATTCTTTTACTTTCAATTTATAATTTTTTCCATTTACTTTTCTAACAGTATGAAACTTATTAGAAAAAAAAATCTAGTGAATAAGAAAAGCAATATCAGTGCTTCTCTATATTTCTTCATTTTCTCTCTCATAACAATTTAAAACAAAAGTTAACACAAGATTATCACACATACATATACATATTGTAGTGACACAACTAGCAGAACATAGGACATAAGTTCTATAATTTATTTCAAACCTTAATACATAAATCCACAAAAAGAAAGAAAAAACAAACTGTCTCTCGTTAAACAAAATCAGAAGAGGAAAAAAAAAACATAATAGATCATGCTTAACTCTATCAAGATATCTAACAATAGCCCAAGACATTTTTTTAAGAAATTCTGCTCTGAGCTCTGTTTTGTTAAAATAGGCTTGTCGCGTTACAATTTCTTCATATAAATTAGTTTTTAAAAAATTTAGTATTTTGTGTAATTTAAAATATGTTTAGTAAAATATTTAATAATTACTGTATGTAATCCTGCTACAGTATCAGCACCATACTCAGACATCATTATAGGCTTTTTGTAAACTTTGAAAGCATTGGTCATAAAATTAATGAGCAAAGGCTCTATAACATCCAATGCTCCAACATCACTGTACCAACCATAGTAATGATTCAGCATAACAAAATCTAAATATTTTCCCTAAATTATAAAAATTATATCAAATAGAATATTGATATATAAAAGGATTAGAGAATTATAATCTAATTGAAATAGAGTAATAAATAGAAGTAGAATAAAAGAGACATGATTGCATGCATTCAAGCGAGAGCTTCTCTGTGAATTACTGTTTAACAAAACAAAAGTGCTTAACAATGCAAAAATATAAAAATTATGTCAAAGAGAATAATAATACAATATTTTCTCATAATCATGAGTAAAGACTGTATAATTCAACTTTATTCAAAAATACTTTCATTGATTAAATAAAATGCATGTAATTGGCTTCATATTTTCAACATTGAATTGTGTATTGAGAATAAATTGATTTGATATACATAAATTTCTAAAATTAGTTCATATAAGAAAAGGGAATGAACATTACATGTTTTTATACCTTAGGAAATAGAGCATTTCTTTTTCTAACAAAGCGTTAATGAAATTTTATAGAAAAGCACAGTCAAATTGACAAGAATTCAGTCAGAAATTTCAGTCTTTGGACTCTTTTTTGCATAATATATATATTAAGAAAGTTCTTTTAAAAAATAGTTATATTTTTTTGAAGTATCTATTTATTAAATAAGTGAACTTTTCAAACATCAAACAATAAGTGATATAAAATACATTTTTACATTCAGAATAAATGTTTCCTGCATAATTTTAGACTCGTTATTAAAAAATAATAAAAGCATTTTAATGTTTTAACTTTAGTTTACAGTTAACCAAAACTTTTGAAAACAGTAATATTATTAAATATTGCAGAGTTTTAATTACATTTAAAATTACCTACAGCTTTATCAGAGTGGTAATCAGCATTTATAGCAGCTGTTACTGGGCGAGTAGGATCTAGTTCTTTTACATGTGCCACTACTTCACTGAAAAAAAAATTAATATGATTGTAATTATAATTAACATAATAAAAAAATACAAAATGATGGAGTCTAAAAATATACATTTACACTGTTACTTATTTAGACTGTTACTCTGATAAGATCTGTAACAGTAAATAGTGAATTAATAAATTATCTAAACGATGAACAGTGAATTAAATAAATGATTTAAATGATACCTAAAGTACTTGTCAGCTTCTTTCTTTGAAGATTGTGGTTCATTGGCAACAGACCATGCAAAGACAGATGGGTGATTTTTGTCTCTATGGATAAGTTCACTCAATATTGCTTTGTGTTGTTTCAGTAGATTGTCACCAAAGGATCTAATCATTGACATAAAATATAATGGTCATTCAAACATAATATAGATAACCTCATAGGCACTACATTATAACTATAAGTTTGAAAATGTTTAACTCTTGCATTTTACAAAGAATCTAAAAGATATTAATTTATTTGATGAGTTATAATTTTAATGAGAAATTGTTTGCAATTTCATTTTCATCATTTTAAGGTAAATTCAAATTTCTTTTTCATTGTTTTAAAATAGTTCATGTTTTTTTCTTAATTTTTTTTAACTAATATTTTAAAAAAAAGCAGTTGTTTATATTGAATTCATTGAATTTTACATTTAAATCTGTATGGAAAACTGAATTTCGTGCCACTAGAATTTGAAAAAGAGAAAATTTCTAGCTGTATTTGTTGCTGCACATTTGGCAAAATTTCTACCATTCTTTACAAATTTTTTCACCTAAATTAATTTTTTTAACAATTAAACAATTTAAATAGACTTTTTTATGCATATTTTTGACAAGCCTAAGAAACTATTTGTTAAAAATAACTCAGCCTGCATCACAAATGACACTTCAGAAAAGATATGCTTACGATAATGCTACTGCAGGTGATTCATCAATGACCACTATGCCCTGTTCATCTGCCATATTCATCACTTCTTCAGCATAAGGATAATGAGATGTTCTAAAAGAATTGGCTCCAATCCACTTGATCAGATTAAAATCTTTAACTATAATTGGCAAATCCAGGCCTTTTCCACGAATCTAGAAATATATAGTTCTTTACTCAGATTTCATTTAATACATTTTATGAATTCATAAAAATATATATTTTTTTAAAAATAAATTTTATCAAATATGGGATTAAAATGTCATAAAAAATTAAAATTAGTAAAGTTTTAATATATATACATTATAGACAGACTACAGTATTCTAATTTTTCTTTCAGCTTCTATTCTAATATTTTAATTTTATAACTTTAATTCTAATTTTTCTTTCAGATAAGTAAATTAAACGGCTTGGATAATACTTATTCTAGGAATTATATTGTTTTTTAAGTGAGAGATGTAGGCAGAATTCTAGGTGTAAAGCTATTATAACAGTAACCTTTTAGCATCTGCTATTCAATAATTAAAACAATGCTTATTTTGTAAGAAATCTCTACTCTAGGCCCAAAACTTCAATATTTAAAAAAGGAAAAAGGTTTGCATTTGTTTTAACGTTATTGTTTTAATCTTATCCCCCTTATTCGAATTTGCAACAACTTTATTTTTTTTCTATTTTTGACAAAACTTTGAATTATTAATGTTCAAAATTGTATACTGTACATTTATTTATGGTCAATAGAGCTATAGCCGGATTTTATCAGATGTGTTTCTTCTATATGTTGTAGATTACCATGAAAGATTACTTGCTTCCCAGAAGAAATCATACTGCATTTATCAATGCTTATTAAGGCATAGTAGCAAGGAAAAAAAAGCATTTTGAAAAAGAATAACTTTCTTCTTAATTTTGCGTGAATTTAGAGGATTAACCCCATGCTGCCTGGAAGAGCACACAAATCATTAATTGAATAATGAGAGTTTAACAAATGTGACAACATTAGATCCTGCCTGGAAGGGGACAAAACAAGATAACAAGTTGGAGAAAACATTTACATGATCTAACACTACTCAATAAACAGACATAAATACAAAATGTACATTATAATTACCTAGCAGTATTGTTTTAACAATTTACTCTGTACATAAAGCAATATAAAAGAGATTAGAGGTCAATTATAAGATTATTAATTTAATATTACTTTATGCAAAATATATAACACTACAAAATATATACAACATCATTAGGTGATATAATCGAGCACATTAAGTAATAATTATAATGTAAAAAACAGAAATGAAAATGTAAAGAAAAAACAGAACAAAACATAAAAGGAAATCTACAAAGCTAGAAGGACATTCAAATGAACTTATATAAATTGTAAAATTTTCAAGAATGATCTAAAATATTTCTGTAATAAGATTACAGATTACAAAATAAGAAAACAGAAGTGCAAATTGAGGGATTTTGTTTCATAGCGCATTCTTATTGCAGTACTGAATCACATGACATTTGTTGGTTCGAAAATGGATGTGTGGAAGGTAATGTTATGCTGGATAATTTAAAGAAGTTTATAATTAATAAGGTTAATATTTAATTATACAATTTAAATGATTTTAGAAAATTAACTTTCATTTAAAAAAAAGAGACAGAAAGAAACATGAATTGCCTGTTTTGCACAGATTTTTAGTCACGGATTTGCCTGAAATGGATTTGCACATGGTAAAAATTATATAAATTAACAAAGAATTGTTTAGTAAATTTATTTACAATAACATACAATTAACTCAATGGTTTTATATAGAATTCAATTAATTTACTTAATTAATTACTTAATTTCATTGTTTTTTTTATCAAATTTTGAAAGAGTTAGTCTATTTGTTTTTTGTATAAATAAATACAGTGCAGAACCTCTTATCCTGAAACCGGAAAAACAGATAACCGGAATGAAATTCTGAACCGGAAATTAATTTTCTTCAATTAAATAAAATTTTTTCCTGCAAGATTTTGAGCCACTTTTGTTATTTAGAGCGTATGGCGTATCGAGTTGATGAAAGAACTGATTTAGAGGACGGATCAAAAGCCGTTTGTAGACGAATCTCACATAAGCACAAATAGCTTATATATGTTATTAATGTTAATAATAACATTAATAACATATATAAGCCTGTATATAATTTTCATTTCATAATTTCTTTCCTTATTTAAACTTAAGTGTATTATTTATAACTTTTTATTATTTTTAAAACTAATTTCAAAATAATTTTTTAGTTTCGTTTCATAAACATTAAAAAAACGGCATTTTGTAGCGATTCAGAAAACCGGAAAAATCAGTTATCCGGAATCGCGATGGTCCCGATCGTTCCAGATAATCAGTTCTCTGCTGTATTACTAAATATTCTTTTAATTCTATTCATTTGATTAAAAATAGTATTTGAACATATGTTCTTAGGAACATTAGAATTCCAAGTAATCAGTTTTTTATATTAAAATTAAAAACATTTATTTTATATCGTATAAATCAACAGAGCAGATATTTTTTTTTATAATAAACAAATTCAAAAAATCAAAATTAATATTATCATCATGGTTACGAAGCAAGATTAATCCCTTCGGGTAAATATTATTTAATAAAATGGCATAATATAGAAAATTAAATCATCAATAAATCTAAAAACAAGTTTAATATTAAGAGTATAATTTTTTTAATAAATGTGCAAAAATGGGGAGATGAAAAATTAGATTCTTGTGATATTCCATAAATTTGAAGAAAAATATCTTTCCATTGTATATATAATTATTAAAAAGAAAAAAATTAATCAGAATTTCCCAATAATCAAACTTGCAATTAAGGATATTTTTAAAGTCATAGAAATAATTCAAAAGGACATCTTTTAGTTTAGAAAGGTAAATGTTATTGAAAATATCCTGGAAAACAAAAGTCACAATAGAATTAATTTTTTTCTGTTTAATAAATTCAAAATTCGGTTGATTATTAGAGATAATCCAAGAAAAACCTTCTTTAATAATATTGTTAATAATTTAAATAGTGCCAGGTTTAGTTAGGTAAGCATTAGACCCACATGTGACTGTTCTAAATTTTATAGGAATTTTATGAAATTTAGGACTGATAAATAAGTTAGGAAATTATATATTGCTAATTTTAAGTTTTAACCTCTATACTTGACATTATATNATATATAATATATATAAAATTTGCACAGTATAGCACTCGCATATTAAAAAATACTTACATTAGAATCCTCATGTTTACCAAATCCCATGAAATAAAAAGGTTTCCCATTCACTAAAAAGTTTGTTTTTGTGACATTTACAGTGCGGATTCCAAATGGCTGATTATAAATATCTTCAACATTCTTCCAAGCAACTCTGACCTATCATAAGTAAACATTTTTAGTAAATAACTAAAATAAAAACAGTTTTTATTAGTAATTACTTTGAAATAGACCTTTATACATGAAACATTTAAATAACTTCACATAAATGTAGAAAATACTACATTATTGAGACATTTTCAAATTACTATAATATGCTTGGGATTGGGAGTATAAAAGGGAAGTTATGAAATATACTGGGAATAAATAGGTTTGAAAATTTATTAAAGCTTATCTCACACATAATAGTTTCAGTACAGAATATTTTCATTTCAACTTAATTCACTTTTCATTTGATAAATATAAAAAAAAATTAATGTAAATTATCATGTCTGTCTAGAATCAACCATAAAACAAATATCAAATTTTACAAAAAATACTTTTACAACATATACAATTAGTTGAATGCCCAGAAAAAAATTCTGACACGAGTAGAATACATTGCTATTTAAATATTATTCAATTAGGTATTAAAATTAAGGAATGAACAAGAAGTGTTAAGACAAACATCTATTCATTTAAAAAATATAGACTAGAAAAAGCTTTAAGGAATGATTACAAGACTACTCCATGATTTTTTTTAAAAAATAAGAACTTGCATACCTTGTAATATTATGATGTTTGGTCTCAGCAAACGTTTTGCAAAATTTAAATCAGTTTAAAGAAAATTAAATTACAACTCAGCACACTTAAAAGTTTAAAATTAAGTAATTTATTACATATTTTCTAACTTTTCTCACATTTTACAAAATTTCCAGTATATTATTTAATAACACTATTAAATATTAATGTTAATCAATAAAAATTATAATGATTTTTATTTAAGAAATATTTTTCCTTTTGAAGTAATTTAAAATCTTTTTGTAGGGTAATTCTACCGTTGTTTCACTACTACCCTATTTCAAAAATCAATTCACATTGCTTCTCAAAAAGACTGAGTTCTAAATTAAAATTAGTTGCTACTTTTGAAGCACATTCATTTACTGTTCCTAATGTCTGGAACACTTCAAAGAGTTTAATTTTAAAGTGTTTTGTATATTTAATATTTAACTTCTAAAAATCATAAAATGATAAAATCATACTCTGCATTTTTTGAGTACTTATACATAAATAAGATTACATGACTGAAATAAATAAGTAGGTATGGTGAATAATTATTTAAATCAAACGATATTTCAAATTAATTCATAGATCTATTTCTGAAAACACTATTCAACAAAACCACACCTCATGCTACCAGATGGCATTTTTGTTTAAAAAAATATATTTTCTCTATTCATTTAATCATACGTCAAATTTCCTTAGGTTTACGCCAAATTAGTTCCTTAAAAAAATAATACTCTTCTACATAATTATATACACAAATATTTATAATTGAACAATATTTGGGGACTAAAGTAGTTATGAAATGTTTACAATGAGTCAAGTTTTGAAATTGCACCATTTTTGCCATAATCAATTAGTTTTTAAGAATCTTTTATCATTATCAGTCCCTTTTTCAACATTGTCAATTCAGTTAATGTAAAGAAAGAAAAAGTCATTGTTAATGTAAAGAAAAAAAATCAATTAAAGTTACGGTCTAGTATTATTTCTTAATTAAATTAGAAATATTTAAAAAATATCAGCTGAACATAAGATATACCTTAAAATAAGAGGAAGAAAAATGGATGGTAGCAGAATTCGCTAAGATAATTTTATTTAGTATTTCTGTATTGCTAAGTAAATAATGCATGGAATGACATTATAAAACTATTGTTCTATGTTTTACTGCTTAACAAAAACACAGAAAGTTAAATAAAATTATCTCTCTGATTTATTTTACTACTACCATCCAAATCTTCCCATTGCTTATTCCAAAAATGAAAAACGACGCAAGATTATAACAGAAAATATAAAATCTAACATTATATACAACCATCAAAACCATTTTAAAACAATATTACGGCGAACGCAAGATAATATTAGTTTGTGCAGCGATCTTTTTCTATTTTTCTAATATTTGAAGGTTATGCAAAATAACGTTCGATTTTCTGATGTTATCTAATATTAGGTGCTACATAGGTAATAAATAGCTATATGAAGACATACATAGGTAATAAATGGATATAGCTATAAGAAAATAAATTTTTATTTTTATATTTATTTCATAATATGTTTTATAAATAATGTGAAAAAAAGAAACTTTAACGCTCTTGTCTGTTAACCTTACTATAACAGCTTAAAATTTTCAGGACAAAATTAGAACATCATTTGACAAAATTTTAGCTGATATGCATATTAATATAAAAAAATTAGTGTTATTAATTTGGAACAGTTTAATGGTTACTTACTTCTAATGTATACATATAACCAGGATCTTCATGCATGGTATAAGGCCACCATAAATTGGGATTTTTAACAGATAGGGTGTTTGAACAGCCCTTGATTGTTATAACTGGCAAAAGGTTTTGATCGAGTACTCTCACATTACAATCTGGTTCAACCGAAGTCTCAGATGTATCCACAATATATTGAACATATCCTGTAACAAAATTAAAAAGAATACAGAACAAAAATAGAAAACGGATCATAAATCTATCTAATGAGAAGTATCAAAGGGTAAAACAACAGTAATTGTAGGGACCATGGTACTGGATGGGTAGGGGGCTTTAATCCCCTCTCATTTTATAAATGAAAGGACACAGCCCTTTCTAAATAACAAATTTTTACTTAATATTTGTGTAATTAAATTTACAAATAAGTGAGCTTTAACATTTCCATGGTAAAAACTTCTACCAAATCATCCATTACTCACCACAACAGAGGAAATATACGTCTCTATTGCTGACAAATTGGAAAATTCTTGATTTTAAATTTCACAGCGAGCAAAATAATAATAATAAACAGTGAAACAGAATTTAAAAAAATACCATTACATGAGAGATAAATAATTTACAGGTAAACAATTACTTTCATTAATTTTGTTTTAATTTTGAAACAATCAAATCATGAAGCTATCACATATATATATACATATATATATGTGATAGCTTATATATATGTATATATATATGTGATATTATACATACATATACATATGTGAATATACATACATATGATATACATATACATATGTGAAGGGAGGGAGAGAACCCTCACTCTTGAGATACTTCGGCGGTCACCGAGTAATTGTAAACCTTTTACGATTTGTGGGCTGTATCTAAGTTTTCTTAAGTAAAAGCAGGTGGCAGAGTAATAAATTTTCTCATTCACAAAGAAAAGTAAAAAAGGACTGAAAAACAGAAAAATTTAAAAGTGTAAAAAATACATAGTATGCATAAAAAAAGCTAAATAAATTACATTTTCCATAATTTATGGAAACAAGAAAGAAATTTAACAAAAAATAGCAAACTTTTGAAAGTTTTCTAACTAATTGCGATGCCATAATAGGCATTATGTGTTTCCTAGCTTTTAAAGTTTATATTTTTCCATCAATTTAATTTTTTAATCATTCTTAATCTCATTTTAATTAAATAAATTATTTAATTTTTATAACATTTTATAAAAAGGCAAATATAAATATTTTATTCTCTTCTTAACGATTAATGTAACGGCTAATTTTTTTATTAAATATAAATGTAGAACTCATTAGTTCAATATCACTACTAAATCGAACATCAAAATCTATTTTTAACTTTTTATTTTTTCAGTTACTCTACCACAAAATGTTTCAGTTGCAGGGTTATATCAATTCTCACAGTCTTTTTGATGATTAAACTATAGCCAAATTATTTAAACTTTAACATTAATAACGCTGATTGTTCGTTTTTTCTATTTTATCTTTCGGTAAATCGCCAACTATGGATCTCTTCCCTTTTTCCTAACTGTCCGTTGAGAACAATTCAATTTTTTTTAAGTTTGAATACTTGGCAATAGGACTGCAGGGGGTTTCACCTCTCGCTCCGATGGCCAAAGCTTTCACAAAACTGCAATTAATTTACCTCCACCATAAAAACTGGATTGCAAATATTTTCACCATAAAATCTCTTTCCCTCTATCATATAAACTGGGACAACATTCTATCACACTAAGTTCTATCAAACAAATTTTTTTATACAATAGCATTGTTAACTATATGACAAACAATCCTCAAGCAATATTTGTAAGATAGCTGTTTTTTTTATCTAAAAAGAAGTTATTATTTTTAATTTTCTAACAATTAAAGTGTGCATTTAATAACACGTTTTTCTGAGTGAACTGTGTTTTTCAAAGTGAGCAGTAAAAGGGTTTAATATTAGCACTTTAAAACTGAAAGAGTATTTCTCATAATTCTTTAAATAGGATATTTCCCTTTTACACTTAAAGGAATCGAAATAATTATATTTGTAAAAAATTCTATGGTTTGTTTATTAATGCAGCAATGATGATAGAACGTTATATGCAAGAAAATTAAAAATAAAAAAAATAAAATCACATTAAATATTTTGAATACCTGTATTGTTTTTAATATCTGTAACTATAGTAATATCTTTGATGTAAGCAAGTGGCATTGCATATAACAAAACAGAGCGATGAATTCCTGCATAGTTAAAAAAATCAAAATTTGTTCCTTGTGTAAAGTAGCCAGGTGGATAGGGACTAAAAAAAATAAATTCATAGTACATAAATAAATTCATAGTTAATACAAAAGATTAAAGGCAATTATTGTATTTTGTGATAACTTTTTTATTAATTAAAAGGAAAGAAAAAAAACTAGATTTAAATCAAAAAGTAACTTAATAATTTAAGTATAAAAAGTAATGCAATAAAAAATATGACAAAAAATAGATAACACATTTTACACAAACAGTAATATGCTTAGAAAATTCACACATCTTCAAGTAATAATTTTTATTCTCATTTCATTCAAAGGATTTTAACATCCTGTCTTCACTTCCATTTAGAAACAATTTAAATTTTTTTTCACATTAAATTTTCTTAATTATAATTTAGCTCTATTATTGCTCAAAAAAAGCAAAAATATAGTTAAGGAATGAATGCAAACTTTTACTAAATACCTATTTACTTAAACAAATTGTTTAACAAAACTTTTTACTGATTCCTATTATTATTATATATTTTTTATATTATTATTACTTTTATCATTGATGAATTTTTATAGCATTTTTAATGAAACAAAATATANAAAAATAGTTTTTTATAAAATAATTAAATTTATGAATAAGATTTTATAAATATGATTATAAAAGTTTTAAATTTGATTAGAAATCCTTATTATTATTTAAACATTAGTAAACAAGTATTCACCTAAAATTAATTTTCAAAACTTTTAGCACTCATTATTATAATTAATAGTATTTTGATAATTTTTTAGCAATTTTTCTTTTTTTTCTCAACTGTATACGATGCAATTTTAAAAATTATGCTATTTTAAAATTTACTTTTGTGATTATATCTATTTTTTAAAAAAAATTCTATTTATTAAGTAAGTTTGTAATTTATGTGCACCAAAATGATAAAATACAATTATGTATCACATATTGAACTTAATTAAAATTAATACACTGATCATCATGTAGTGGGAGAATCAAATTTTTTGCTAGAGCTATAAGAAATTTTTTTTTAATATCATTCTTATATAAAATTGTTGTATGATATTAATTTATGCTACTTTCTTTATTATATAAGCACTAAAATTCGGCAAGATTTGAGGGTCGAGACGTGCATTTAATTTATTAGAGATAACTTTTATTTTTCGTTATGAAATTTCAGCAAAAAATAAATATAAATTTAATTTTGCGTTTCTTATAATAATTTATAAAAAAAAAACTTATTTTAACAAATAACAAAAATATTTTCTATGTCTACTTTTCATAATGATGTATTGTATAGATTCAGGTTTTTTACATATATATTTATATAAAGATGTTTTTTCAAACTTTATTTGCTTATGTATCTTTCTTTCAACAGTATTTAAATAAAGGATATTTTTAGTAGCGAAGCTGTAGCATTGTCAGGGAGTATTTTGTCATTATTAAAAGCTAATTATTATATGTAGTTCATAATGAAATGTTTTTTATTAACTCTATTTTGACTAATAAAATATTCAATGTTTATCAAACTCTGCACATATTTGTTATAAAAATACTACGAGAAATACAACAATAAACACAAAAAAGTAAATCAATTTACGTGTGCAAACTGCATATAATGAGATTACTTGAAATAATAAAAGCAAAAGGAAACGACAACAAAAATATAAAATAGTTAAGAAACAAAACTAAATAAATTATATTCAAAAGTAATTGGAAAAATTAAAAAAAAAAATTTACATTAAAAACAATAATAAATAGAAAATTAATTATTTAAATTAAACATAAATATAAAATGAGAAAAAGTAAATCAAACTAGCAGTTATCCAACATATGATTGCTCAAAACATTAAAAGCAAAATAAATAAATAAAAAAGGCAAAGCTACAAAAATATAACGAAGACCAACCAGCTTTAAAGCAACTACATGAATTTATGGTTTCAATAGAAAGTTAAACAACAACCAATGAAAAATATAATGCAAACAACTTGTGTGTGTAGAGCTTAGTAAATGAGCCATTACATTACTAATAGACCGAAACATTAGTCACTTTACTTAAACTGTAGTTTACTAAGAAACAAATAAATTATTCTTTTAATAATGAAAAATTATAACTCAATTTATTAGTTATGTTGCAGCTTCACTACTAAATATTCCAAACAACAATTCTCGTAAAAGGCAGAGTTAGTTAAAATGGTTGCAAGAAACCAGAAGATTGTTAGAGCAATAGATTGTAGAACTCTAGTTGAGAAATACGAGTTCGAAGAACTATGGTTACAAAAACTGTTGAGAATGCAGATATGCATGTCAATTTTTGTTTGAGAAATGCATGTTCTCTCAAATGCAGAACGGAACTCAAAATCATGAAAACGTGCAGCTGTTAATCATTTACAAATACAGCCATTAATCATTTATACCATACATAGCACATGAAACACTCAAAATGTTTGGCTCAATCTGATGAATAATTTTGGCTCAGAGAAACCTTATATTTTATATGCAATAATTTAAATTATATCTACAATAATTTACAGTATAAAAATGAGAAAGTGCTGCAAATGAATGGTAACAAACTAGTAATGACTAGTATAGACTTAATAATAATAATAAATAGGCATGAGTTTCTAAGAGAGATAATAAACAAAAAATTATATATTATTTATCTTGATATTTTACAGAATTAAAAAAAAATGTTGGCACAGTTGTATTAGCACAAATGTCTTTGTCCAATAAGTATTTTGTGGCAAAATTGTTTGTAATAAAGTTTGAGGTAGAAAAAAAAATAGATGAAAATTTCATTAAGAGATGTGTTTCACACATTCATATACATAATTAATAAAAAGACTAATTGTTATTGAAAAAAAATACAATATGAAATTATACCCATCATTTTTGTGCTTGAACGATTTTTGACCTTGAGGAATAGTATCAAAAGAAAGTGTATTATTTAAAGCAACTGTTATCCTGTTGAGATTTNGACTTGCCTTCGGTGCCACGGCAATAGAAATTGCAAAAGTTGATATGCTATTTTTCGTTAAATAGATTGAAAAAAGTTTTAAATAACCATAATTTTCTTTAAGGGTGGGTGAACTTTATTGTTAAATACTTTTGTTTTTTGAAGGACTGGATTATTTTCTCGAAGGAAAATAATCCAGCTACAATTTAGTTATGTTGGGAATAACGAAGGAGGACTATTTTTAAATATCATACGTTTTAAATTCCATCGGGAATTTTTCCATATTTGGTGCTTTAAATGCTACATTTACTGTAAAAGACTTTTATAGTAATTCGGTGCATTTTCTCAGTATTATTTTTCCATTGCCCACCACCACATTTCGTCAATACAGGCATCAATCAGAGGGCCAGATTTGTTGACCACTCTTTCAGGGGCACCATATTAGGTGGGCCAACGTTGCTCCCACAGCAAGGACAGATAGTACAGAGAATGAAAGAACATCCATGCCTTGCCTGGAACCCAGAACCTTTTTGATGCAAGGCCAGTTTCCTGACCCCTGCACAATTTGGTCGGCATTATAAGATTATTGACTTAATATTACTTTATACAGAATATATATCACTGTAAAATTATACAACATCATTAGGTGATATAATCACTGATTATATGAATTTAATCACTGATAAAAAATAAATAAATAAAATATACAATTTAAAAGCAAAAAGAATAAAATTTGCGCAGTATAACACACGCATATTCAAAAATACTTACGTTAGAATCTTCATGTTTACCAAATCCCATGAAATAGAAAGGTTTCCCATTCACTAAAAAGTTTGTTTTTGTGACGTTTACAGTGCGGATTCCAAATGGCTGATTATAAATATCTTCAGCATTCTTCCAAGCAACCCTAACCTATTAGAAGTAAATATGTTTAGTAAATAACTAAGAAAAGAACATTTCTCATTAGTTAATACTTTAAAATAGACCTTTATACATGAAAGGTTTAAATAAGTTCACATAAATGTAGATAATACTTTATTGAGATGTTTTCAAATAATTGCTATAATATGCTTGGGATTGGGAGTGCAAAGGGAACTTATGAAATATACTGGGAATTAATAAGTTTGAAAATTTATTGAAGCTTATTTCACACATAATAGTTTCAGTATATAATATTTTCCTTTCAACTTAATTCACTTTTCGATTGATAAATATGACAAATTTAATGTAAATTATCATGTCTATTCAGAAGCAACCATAGAACAAATGTCAAATTCAGCAATAAATACTTTTAAAAAATATACAGTTAGTTGAATGCTAAAGTCTGTACAGAAAAAAATTCTGATATTAGTGGAATACATTACTATTTAAATATTATTCAGTTAGGTATTAAAATTAAGGAATGAACATCAAGTGTTAAGACAAACATCTACTCATTACAAAAATATAGATTAAAAAATGAATGATTACTAGACTATTTCAATTTTCGACGCTTTTTTTAAAAAACAAGAACGTCCATACCTTGTAATATTATGATGTTTAGTCTAAGTAAATGTTTTACAAAATTTAAATCAGTTTAAAATTAAGTAATTTATTACTAATTTGTTTACTTTCCTTAAATATGACAAAATGTTAAATTTACTATTTTATAACATACTTAAATATTAATGCTTATCAATAAAAATTATAATGATTTTTATTTAATAAATATTTTCCGTTTGAATTTAGTCAAAATCTTTTTGTAGGGTATTTGTTACCAGTGTTCTACTACTACCCTATTTCAAAAATAAATTCTGCATTGCTTTTCAAAAAGACTGTTTGCACATAGTTGACTTCTTTGTTAAAACATATTGTCCAACTATGAAGAGGAGAGCTTAAAATTAGGTACTATTTTTATTTAGGCAGTTTGGAAAAAAAAGTGAAAATTTCCTATTGGCTTTATATAAGCTTGTTGGATGTATAAAAATTAGAAGAATTGAATTTGATATATTTTTGTATCAGAATATGCCTGAATATTCACTGCAACTAAAATGTAGACCCGAAAATTTAGATTTTCAGTTAGTAGCTAGTAACTGGCAGTCTGTAACGACTTAGCAGCCGCTTTTTTATCAAACCTATTAAGTCCGTAACCGAAATCGATAGGTCTTCTTCATTTAATAGCCACGTTTTGCAAACTTTTTTTGTTGCTTTGATTAAATTATAATTTTAAAAAATCTTATTACAAATAATTTAAGGCTATAAAAGTGTAATTCATCAATAAAAATAATATAAATATGCGTCAAAATTCAGTTAAATATGCTGACTTTTAAAGAATGTCATGTCAAAATATTTGGGGTGGCAAAATGCATTCAATGTACACATTACAACAATGTACAGTCAAATATTATACCATCAAAACCATTTTAAAATAATATTACGGAGAACTCTAGATAATAATAGTTTGTATAGTGTCTAACGTTATATAATGTTGATAAAACAGCGATCTTTTGCATCTTGCTTATAATTGAAAGCTTTGAAAAATAATGTTAGATTTTCTGATTTTATCTAATATTAGGTGCTACTTAGGTAATAAACAGCTATAGGAAAATAAATTTTAATTTTTATATTTATTGCATAAGATGTTTTATAAAAAATGTGAAAAAAAGAAACTTTTATGCTTTTGTCTGTTAACCTTACTAAAACAGCTTAAAATTTTCAGGACAACATTAGAATATCATTTGACGAAATTTTAGCTGATATGCATATCAATATCAGAAAATTAGTGTTATAAATTTGGAACAGTTTATTGATTACTTACCTCTAATGTATACATATAACCAGGATCATCATGCATAGCATAAGGCCACCATAAGTTGGGATTTTTAACAGATACTGTGTTTGAACAGCCCTTGATTGTTATAACTGGCAAAAGATTTCGATCAAGTATTCTTACATTACAATCTGGTTCAGCTGAAGTCTCAGATGTATCCACAATGTATTGAACATATCCTGTAACAAAATTAAAAATATATTAGTGATATATGATATATGATAAAAAAAATAGAAAACAGATCATAAATCTATCTAATGAGAAGCATCAAAGGGTAAAACAACAGTAGGGACTATGGAATCGGGTGTGGGGGGGTGGCTTTAGTCCCCTCACATTTTATTTGAAGGGGCACAGACATTTTAAAAATTACAATTTTTCACTAAATATTTCTGTAATTAAATTTACAATTGAAAAAAAAAGATAATTTTTGTGTTAGTTTTCTCAAAAGTTCCATTTTAAGCAAGCTTTAACATTACCATAGTAAAAACTTCTACCAAATCATCCGTTACTTATCCCCCCACAGAGGAAATATATGCCCCTATTGCTGACGAAAGGGAAAAGTCTTGGTTTTAAATTTCATAGCGAGCAAAATTATAATAAACAGTGAAGCAGAATAAAAAAATACCATTAAATGAGAGATATATAATTTATAGGTAAACAATCACTTTTAATAATTTTATTTTAATTTTGAAAACAATCAAATCATGAGGTCATATATATATATACACAGACAGGGAGGCCCCCCACTCTTGAGATACTTTGGCAGTCACTGAGTGATTGTAAACCTTTTACAATTTGTATCCAAGTTGGCTGTATCTAAGTTGGCTGAAGGAAAAGCAGGTGGCTGAGTAATAAACTTTGAATGTACTATTCTCATTCAGTGCAAAGAATAATAAAAAACGACTTAAAAACAGAAACATTAAAATATTTAAAAATATATAGTATGTACAAAACAAGCTAAATAAATAAAATTTTCTATAATTTATGAAACCAAAAAAAGGAAACAATCTTGAAACTAAATTAAATTAAATTATTTAATTTTTATTACATTTTATAAAAAAAAAACAAACAAATATTAATATTTTATTCTCTTCTTAACAATCAATGTAACTGCTATATTTTTTTAAAATTTAAATCAAATGTAGAAGTCATTAATTCCCTGTCACTATTAAATCAAACAAAAAAATCTATTTTTAACTTTCTATTTTTTAAGTTACTTTACCACAAAAATGTTTCTGTTACAGGGTTATATCAATTCTCACAGTCTATTTGATAATTAAACTGTAGGCAAATTATTTAAACTTTAACATTAATACCACGGGTCGGCTTTGTTTTCGGTTATTTTATCTTTCGGTAAATCGTCAACTATGGATCGTTTCCCTTACTCCTAACAGTCCATTGGGAACAATTCAATTACATTTAAGTTTGAGTACTAGGCGTTAGGACTGGAGGGGTTTCACCCCCCAGTTCGACCGTTAATTAACTTTCCACAAAAAAATCTTCTTCAAGTAAGAATAACGCATCTCTTCATTCCTATAAGGGAACATCCTTCTATTTTGTGATATTTTTATGTTTACAATGTATCTTCTAATAATATTTCTTAAATAAAGCAACAAGTCTTATTTTAAAATAACTTGTTCAATTTTCTGGAATAAATACCTCTGTCGTAAGAAGTGCAAATGTACCAGAAATCATTACTACTATGGCCAAAGATTTCACAAAACTACAATTAATTTACCTCCACCATAAAAACTGGAATGCAAATATTTCCACCATAAAATCTCTTTCCCTCTATCATATAAACTGGGACAACATTCTATCACACTAAGTTCTATTAAACAAATTTTTTTATACAATAGCATTGTTAATTGTAAAACATTATTAACTATATGACAAACAATCCTCAAGCAATATTTCTAAGATTGCTGTTTTGTTTTTTATCTAATAAAAAGTTATTATTTTTAATTTTCTAACAATTAATGTGTGCATTTAATAACAAGTTTTTCTGAGTGAACCATGTTTTTCAAAGTGAGCAGTAAAAGGGTTTGATATTAGCACTTTAAAACTGAAAGAGTATTTCTCAAAATTCTTTAAATAGGATATTGCCATTTTAGGCTTCAAGGAATAGAATTAATTATATTTATGAAAAATTCCATGGACTGTTTATTAATGCAGCAATGATGCCAGAATGTTATACGTGAGAAAAAAAAATCACATTAAATATTTTGAATACCTGTATTGTTTTTAATATCTGTAACTATAGTAATATCTTTGATGTAAGCAAGTGGCATTGCATATAATAAAACAGAGCGATGAATTCCTGCATAGTTAAAAAAATCGAAATTTGTTCCTTGTGTAAAGTAGCCAGGTGGATAGGGACTAAAAAAATAAATTCATAGTACATAAATAAATTCATAGTACATAAATAAATTCATAGAAAAATAAATTCATAGTTAATACAAAAGATTAAAGGCAATTATTGTATTTTGTGATAACTTTTTATTAATTAAAAGGAAAGAAAAAAGCCAGATTGAAATCAAAAAGTAACTTAATAATTTAAGTATAAAAGTAATGCAATTAAAAATCAGACAAAAAAAAGATAACGTACTTTAAACAAACAGTAATATGCTTAGAAAATTCCCGCATCTTAGAGTAATAATTTTTATTTTCATTTCATTCAAGGGATTTTAACATCCTGTCTTCACTTCCATTTAGAAACAGTTTAAATTTTACTTCACATTAAATTTTTTAAAATATAATTTAGCTCTATTATTGCTCGAAAAAGCAAAAATAAAGTTAAGGAATCAATGCAAATTTTTACTAAATACCTATTTTCTTAAACAAATGGTTTAACAAAACTTTTTACTGATTCCTATAATTATAATATTTTTTTTTTGTATTATTATTACTTTCATCATTGATGAATTTTGATAACATTATTAATGCAACACAATATTAAATTCTTGAAAAGTCAGTAAGAAGCCAATGAAGGTGAAGTACACTTTCTGAACTTTCGTCAGAACTGCGATCATGAGACCGAAACCAGTTGAACATTGGCCGAATCTGTATTTTGTCTTCTTAACTTTTCAAACCTCAATCACAGTCGAGTGATCTGGGAAATTTCGAACAACTGATTTCTGTGGTTCAATGCAACTGATCTTTAGCTCGAATATCAGAATCAATGCTTGCAAATGTTTTAATATTTTTGAAAAGTTGTAAATAAAAGAAAAATAGTTTTTTATAAAATAATTAAATTTATGAATAAGATTTTATAAATATGATTATAAAAGTTTTAAATTTGATTAGAAATCCTTATTATTATTTAAACATTAGTAAACAAGTATTCACCTAAAATTAATTTTCAAAACTTTTAGCACTCATTATTAAAATTAATCGTATTTTGATAATTTTTATCCCATTTTTTTTTCTTAACTGTATACAATGCCATTTTAAAAATTATGCTATTTTAAAAATTACTTTTGCAACTATATCTATTTTTTTAAAATTCTATTTGTTAAGTAAGTTTGTAATTTATGTGCACCAAAATGATTAAAATACAATTATGTATCACATATTGAACTTAGTTAAAACAATATACTGATCATAATGTAGTGGGAGAATACAATTTTTTGCTAGAGCTATAAGAAAATTTTTTATTATATCATTTTTGTATTAAATTGTTTATTAATATTTATTTATGCTACCTTCTTTATTACATAAGCACTAATATTCGACATGATTTGAGGGTCAAGACATACATTTTATTAATCAGAGATAACTTTTAATTTTTGTTACGAAATTTCAACAAAAAATAAATATAAATTTAGTTTTGCAGCTCTTATAATAAGTTATAAAAAAATTTATTTTGAAAAATAACAAAAATACTTTTTTTGACAACCTTTTACAATGATGTATTGTGTAGATTTGTACAGATACAGGTTTTTTACATACATATAAATATATATACATATATAAAGATGTTTTTTCAAACTTTAGTTGCTTATGTATCTTTTTTTCAACAGTATTTAAATAAAGGATATTTTTAGCAGCGAAGCTGTAGCATTGTCAGGGAGTATTTTGTCATTATTAAAAGCTAATTATTATCTGTAGTTCATAATGAAATGTTTTTTATTAACTCTATTTTGACTAATAAAATATTCAATGTTTATCAAACTCTGCACATATTTGTTGTAAAAATACTACGAGAAATACAACAATAAACACAAAAAAGTAAATCAATTTATGTGTGCAAACTGCATATAATGAGATTACTTGAAATAATAAAAGCAAAAGGAAACGACAACAAAAATATAAAATAGTTAAGAAACAAAACTAAATAAATTATATTCAAAAGTAATTGGAAAAATTAAAAAAAAAAATTTACATTAAAAACAATAATAAATAGAAAATTAATTATTTAAATTAAACATAAATATAAAATGAGAAAAAGTAAATCAAACTAGCAGTTATCCAACATATGATTGCTCAAAACATTAAAAGCAAAATAAATAAATAAAAAAGGCAAAGATACAAAAATATAACGAAGACCAAACAGCTTTAAAGCAACTACATGAATTTATGGTTCCAATAGAAAGTTAAACAACAACCAATGAGAAATATAATGCAAACAGCTTGTTTGTGTAGAGCTTAGTAAATATGAGCCATTACATTACTAATAGATCGAAACATTAGTCACTTTATTTAAACTGTAGCTTACTAAGAAACAAATAAATTATTCTTTTAATAATGAAAAATTATAACTCAATTTATTAGTTATGTTGCAGCTTCACTACTAAATATTCCAAACAACAATTCTCGTAAAAGGCAGAGTTAGTTAAAATGGTTGCAAGAAACCAGAAGATTGTTAGAGCAATAGATTGTAGAACTCTAGTTGAGAAATACGAGTTCGAAGAACTATGGTTACAAAAACTGTTGAGAATGCAGATATGCATGTCAATTTTTGTTTGAGAAATGCATGTTCTCTCAAATGCAGAACGGAACTCAAAATCATGAAAACGTGCAGCTGTTAATCATTTACAAATACAGCCATTAATCATTTATACCATACATAGCACATGAAACACTCAAAATGTTTGGCTCAATCTGATGAATAATTTTGGCTCAGAGAAACCTTATATTTTATATGCAATAATTTAAATTATATCTACAATAATTTACAGTATAAAAATGTGAAAGTGCTGCAAATGAATGGTAACAAACTAGTAATGACTAGTATAGACTTAATAATAATAATAAATAGGCATGAGTTTCTAAGAGAGATAATAAACAAAAAATTATATATTATTTATCTTGATATTTTACAGAATTAAAAAAAAATGTTGGCACAGTTGTATTAGCACAAATGTCTTTGTCCAATAAGTATTTTGTGGCAAAATTGTTTGTAATAAAGTTTGAGGTAGAAAAAAAAATAGATGAAAATTTCATTAAGAGATGTGTTTCACACATTCATATACATAATTAATAAAAAGACTAATTGTTATTGAAAAAAAATACAATATGAAATTATACCCATCATTTTTGTGCTTGAACGATTTTTGACCTTGAGGAATAGTATCAAAAGAAAGTGTATTATTTAAAGCAACTGTTATCCTGTTGAGATTTGAAAATTGTAAATTTTTTGTAACATCAACTTCAAATGGAAGATGTCCTCCAGTATGATTCATAACATTTTCTCCATTTAAATACTAAAATAATCAGAAGAAAAATTTATAAATTTATTAAAACAAATTTATAATATCAAAGATATAGTTTCCAAATGTTTTTTTTAACACTTAGTTTTAATTTTGACATAAGCACCAACTTACAACAACTGAGTAATAATGGGCACTTTCGAATCTTAATACCACTCTGTAATTTTGAACCCATCTCTGTGGAACATAGAATGTTTTTTCGTACCACGACCAGCCAAGATAATCTCTAATAGTTCTATTTTGAGTAATATCATTGAAACTGGATGGAACAGGCATGGGAATGGTGTCACCTGTCTGGAAAAATAAAAAAATAAAATCAGCACATCATAAGAGTGAAAAAGATATACTAAAAATAAACACATATTTATCAGTAATTGGGACCTGCATTTCACAACATCACACACATAAATTATATTAAAATTAAATACTTATATTTAGTGTTTAATATTTATTCTATAACATAGAGGAATAGTGCATTACAAACAGGTATACTCGTCTACAGTCTTATTTAGATATGGAAAATCTTAAAAGAAATTTATAGAATTTTTTTTATGAATTAAGTCACATCTTATATACTAGTTAAAATTAGTATGAGGGTTAAGGTATTTTTTACAAACAATAAACTTAATAATAAGAAAATGAAAAGAGCAATCCTTTGTGATATGATGAAATAGAAAGACTAAAATCCCGAATAAAAATCATACCTAATTATTAAAAATTTTATTAAACACAGTTATTAAAATTAGATCTGTCAAGTCGTTTTTAGGATTACTATTGATTTGATATACGCCTGCACCTGATGCTTGGGATTTTTCTACGTGCAAAACACTTTTAAGGACATTTTTCTTGATGATGCTTTTCTTAAATGTCAAGAACTGAATCAAATATTGCAAATCTACAGAATTTGAAGTTCCCTTAGATTACAGCCACTTTATAACAACACAAAATACACATTTTATGAATAAAAGAGATCCATATGAAATGTTATCTCCCACGCAACCACTTTGTTACAAATATACTTCTAATTTCATAAAATATAACAATATATAAACACACAAAGTTATTATTTAATGACTCTAAACAGGCATATAAAAAAAGATACAATTAATAAAAACTTGAAACTTGATTGAAGTTTTTCACTTATAAAATGTTTATACTATAACTTTCCTTCAAAGTACCTCCTTAAAATTAAAGGATTTTTTAATCATCGTTTCATCTGATACACAGCAAAAAAATAAATAAATTTCCTACAGTCATATTAAATTTTTTCACATAGAAAAACAAATTTACGTTTTGTGATACGACGATGTTGCAAAGTCACATTCCATGGCTCTATTTAAAACAATATGAAACACCTAACTAATATTGATGGCCTCCCATTCGGAAACATGTGTAGTACTTTAAAATTAGTTTGAAATTTTTTTAATTGATTGGGGTAGTCTACATAGATTGAAAAAAATCTGGTCATTTCTTCAATATATATAAAAAAAAAAAAATGGGTGTTGTGGATTTTGGGGAAAATTTATATCTTAATAAACATGAATGAAACATAAACTAAAAACAAACATAAATGAAGATTTTGCACATGTACACCGCTTAAAAGTTAATATAAAATTCATTACTAATCTAAACAACTGGACAATTCTCAAACCTCAAAAAAAAACATCAGTGCAGTGAATTCTGGAAAAATGTATACCAGGAAATCATACTTTTTATTGCTATGAAATTGCTTCTGAAATCGAAGATTGATTGTGATATGGCACCACACACAAAAAAATTGTGATGCAATGAGTATCTAGTGAGCAGTATGTATCCGGCCAGTTGGCCAGATATTATGATTATTCGGCAGTAATATTCAGCCTTAAATTAATTGGGGAAAAATTCATAGAAACATCAATTAGATATTAAATAATATTTGATAACTATCTCATAGTTATGCTGGAAAATTAATTCAAGCATATTTTTATTTTTGGATAACGGCTAGCCCCTATATTTCAGGAATCAGAAATTTGAATCCGTCAAAAAAAAAAAAAAGGCATTTTATTTTGAGAAAGTACGTTTTTGTGTCTGATTTCGTAAATTAAAATTTTGTCAGAACTAATAAATTAGCAGATTTAAGGTCACCCCCTTGAATAATTATGACTGAGTTCCAGAATACGAAGATCCGATTATTAAATCAAAAGTTATTCAGGATGGTCTGCTTTTTCTAATTTTCCACACTGTAATAATTAAACTTGATTACTGGGAGACTTCAATGTAACATTATCTACAAAAATTCAATAGTAAATAATTTCAGTGATAGTTAATATTTATCCATTTTTTTAAACAAATTAATACTTCAAATTATCTGTTTTTTTAATTCAATAATTGGCTTAACCTGTTCATTTGTATCATTCTTTTTCTAGAATCTCCGTCATTGAATGAGGCCCACAACTCCTATTTAGATTTTAAGATAACTTTACATGATTAGCATAAAAAAGCTTATAACTGTTCTTCTCTAACTTTTGCAAACAATTTGGGTACTTTTTCATTTTGCCCGTGCAGGTGACTAATTTGCCAATGCAAAGTCATTGAGTGCAAGTTATTTTTTTAAAATTAGGTGATAAGTTTGTTTTAAAAAAAATCCATAATTAATGAACAAAATAACTGAGCTGGGAGCAAGCGAAAAGTAACCAAAAAAATGTAGACCCGTGACAGCTTTCTAAATTTTATTAATTTTTTTTTAAAACACAAAAGTTAAATAAAATAAGAAATTTAAAAAAAAAAAGAAGTTGAATTCCTTTTTTTCCGCAAACCGAAAAGTATCAAATAGCTGAATTTACTTGCACCAGAAAAATAGATCAGCATTAAAATTTAATACAGTAAATCTTAAATTGATTTTAAGCAATTATTATTGAGTTTTTCGTAATTTATTTAAAACATCGATGTAATTTTTTAGGACAATTTCATTTAAAATAGTTTTGATTTAATACATTTTTGAAAACTGTAATTATACAATAAATACATAACAAGCTTTTTTTTTTCAGTTGTGCAAAACATAATGAAAATAAATAGTATGAGATTAGAAAAAGATTACTTTTCGTAATGAGGTTTTGTACCACTTCTGTTTGAAACCTTCATCTTGATTAGTTTGGTGACAGATTTTAAAATCCCAAATATCATTCAGAGATTTTATTTCCCTAGTTATTGACTCTCTGGGAAATAGGCAATAACTCTCGAAAAAGAATAAAGTAAAAATAAGTGTACCCAAAATATTCATCGTAACGAAAGCTTGTTATTCAGAATAACATTCCAAATTAACACCACTAAAAATTAAGTTACTTTAAAGATTTATCACAGACGCCCCCATGTAATCTATGATCTATAGGAATGGAGTTAGGAAGAGACAAGAATATTTAAAAACTTGAAATCGCTTTTGACTTGCTCTCTTTGTTTATTTACATTTCAATCAGCTGACAGCCCCCACCCCCTAAAGATAAATTCGACTAGAAATGGAGAGGAAATTTTTCGCAATTTTCTTTTACAAAAGAAAACAAAAACAGCAAGATGAATGATATAATTTTATTCTCAGAGTTATTATTTTATAGTTCTGGAATTTATTTTAACAATTTAGGATTTTTTTAAAGAAATTAACAAACTGTAACTGTATTACAATTAATTATGAAACAAAAACAAATAAATTATTAAACTGATATTGGCAATAACAATTTTCCACGCATTTCTAAAATAAAAATTTGCGTGCACCAGTTGAACTGAATTTCTCAGTTTTTAAATAAAAATATGTAAATATACAGAATTTTGAACTGAAAAAGTATAAACCCATCATATACCCAACCAGAATCTTCATCATTCTCAATTCCTCTCTGTGTTCTCAACAAAAGCACGCACAACTTAAAATTAATTTGTGGCCTGCTGTAATCATGAATTAATACTCGTTTCATGTGGTATCATTTTGCCCTTTTTATAATTGCTCTCCTTTAATTTTTGTTAAAATATGGCAACAGAAGAAATATCTTCTCCACCAGTGGAAAAAGATTGTACTTTCAAATCATTGGTTTGTTTTGTTATTTCTTTTATTGTAGTATTTAAATATGAATGAAGTAACCTTCATAAATGCTCGGGGGATATTTCCGTGTCCTGATCTGCCGCACCAACAGCAATCGCCAAGGTGCCAAATACATTTTCAACTTGCAAATTTCTAAAAAAAAAAAACGAAACATATAGATGTTTGCCAGGAAATGACTACGAGTTATACCTTTCGAGTTGAACCCTTTCTGTGTTTTTTTTTTTAGTTTCTCGTGGACCACTGCCCACAAGTTGTCATGACGTGGCGATAAATCTCCCAAAAAGCATGGGGTGGTTTGTCTGAGGTGTGCGAATTATAGTCCCTTCTACTTGGACCCCTTCTATGACATTTAGTGTGCTATTGACAGGGCAAGAAGAAAACGTGGCGTTTATTTTGGTACAGGTGCCGATTTGGAAATCTTCACGTACTAAAGAAGTATTTTCTTCTTTTAAGTGTAAACTGGGGTGGCCAGCGGTCCTCCTGAAACTGAAACAAAACATCATCAGCAGGGGTGCAACTCAAAGAGTATAACTCGTAGCAACTCCTTGTCAAACATCTACATGTTTTTGTTTAAAAAATTCTAAGTTTATAATTCATTTGGTGCTTTAGCAATTGTAATTTGGGAGACTGATATTTCCGTTTTGTGATCTGCTAATCTAAAGTGCCAAATTGATTTTAAGTGGATAAAATTAAAAAAAAAAACGAAACCTGTAAAGGTTTGCGTGGGAGTGGCTGAGAGGTATACCCTTGGAGCTTGTTCCTTTCTGTCATGTTTTTTTAAAGTATCTTGCAGACTACTACCCGGAAGTTGCCAAGACTTGGCGATTATTCTGCCACAGATTACTATATGGAAATCTTCCCAAGACTTTCATATTTTATCTTGTCTTTTTTTTTAAATGTTAACGTAATGTAAAACCATTGTTTTTTAAAAATAAAATAGTGTTGTTAGGGATATTTCCACAACGTGATCCGCAGTGCCAAGGCATAAAATGAAGTTAAAACTTGCAATTGTTAAAAAAGAAAAACTCTTAGAGGTTTGCCCAGAGGTGGCTACGAGTTTTGTTCTTCGAGTTTCTTCCTTCTGTGATGTTTTTTTAAAAATTGCTGCTAGACTCTGAGTATTCTGCCGCAGATCGGGATATTAGTATTTCTATATTGGTACTTGTTTCTAAAGTACCAAAAAATATCTTAAACATTCTTTTTTTTTAAAAATGTGTTATTGTTTGCCTTGCAGCGACCCCAACTTATACTTTTCAAGATGTCTATAGATACCAAATAATAGTAACCAAAATTTGTCAATTTATTTGGTGCATTGATATGGAAATCTTCTAATCTGTATACTAAATACTAATGTAAGAATGTTTTCTTGACCTTGGATAACAAGTTTTTGAGGGTAACCAAATAACTGCTAATATGTTAATAAGCTTCAGTAATTAATAATTTTTAAAGTTTTGTGGTTCAGAGGCTGTATGTTTTTTAGAAGTGGTTTAATTAATAAGGTTTTCATAAAATTGGAGCATTTAAGTTTGTCAAACTTCCTAACTGTCTGCAAATGGATCCAAAGGAAAACCAGTACCGTAAACTGATTGGTGGTTATAATATCTTCAAAAGATGGTTAAATGGAGAAACAAAACTCCCTAATTGGATTTAATAAAGTTTTTCATTTTTTCTTTCATAGGGTGTGGTTGATGTATTATGTGAAGCATGTGAACAGTTGAAATGGAAATCTCCAACAGCTATCCAACAAGAAGCTATTCCTATCGCTCTAAAAGGTAAATTTTTACAAATAGTTTTATAGGCCTATATATTTTTTTTCATGGTTTATATTATTGTTTAAGCTCATAGTGGGCTAGAAATTCTAAATTATCTACAGCTTTTAACTATTTTAATCTGAAGATGAGTATCTTGGCATAACGAATTTGTTTTTAAGATAAGATTTTGATACTGGAAATGAAGCTTTAATTTTATATATTGCATAATATCTTATCAAATATTTTAGGAATGTTATAACCTTAAAGCTGTAAAATATTGGTATCTTTTACCTATACTTTTTTGTTGGTGTGCAAATATTTTTGAGCACACTCCTGAAAACCCTCTTCGTCAAAAAACAAGAGTCAAGCAGGTTTTTTTTTCTCACTTCCCGCTCACTTTCTTTGTGTGTGGTGGAGTGACAAGTTTTTTATGTATCTCACTTAACTTAAAACGTTATTATTATTCAATTTATTTGTTTTGTTTATTGATAGTCAAAATTTTTATTCTTTCTTGAATAAGCTTTCGTGTTGAAGATATAACATTTTTGATAACATAAAGATTATGATAGTAAAAATTGAAATTCTAGGTCGTGACGTCATTGGTTTGGCTGAAACTGGGTCAGGAAAAACTGGTGCTTTTGCCATACCTGTTCTGCAGGCTTTGTTGAAAACTCCTCAAAGATTCTTCGCTCTTATTCTTACTCCTACTCGAGAGTTAGCGTTCCAAATTTCTGAACAATTTGATGCTTTAGGAGCATTCATGGGTGTAAAAACAGGTTTTATTTTATTTTTGGCTGTAATTTCTTTTGAATTAAAGTACTATCCTTTTTGCTAAGTTGTTCAATATTTTTTCAGCTGTAATTGTTGGTGGCATTGATATAGCAACTCAAAGTATGGCCTTATCTAGGAAACCACACATAATTATAGGTAAGATTTTGCTAAAATATTCTTTAACATGTTTTTAATCTTTAAATACAGTACATGCTAAATTACTCATTGGCATAGGCACCATATGTGACCATCAATGAGCCGCACCTGTAGCTCGTGTTAGAGGTTCACCCTTATTGTAAGTGATTTGTGTTATTTTCCGTTTTTGTCAGGTTTCTTTTTTTTAAAAAAGTTTATAATTATAAAATTGCAGTTAACAGCATTATGATTAAATTAATAATTCTTTGGACTTAATGCACATTAAAGATTAAATTGAAAAAGCCATTAGTTGTCTTATAAATTCTTAATTTTCCCATTGAAAAAAAAATTATACTCTTGAGTATGGATTTAAATTATTTGAATTTAGATTCTCTAAACTTGTTAAAATTATTAATTCTCTATTAATAATTAAATAATTCTCTTGATACATGCGTGAGTATGTCTTGATTTTAATTACAATACTGATGTTTTTTTTTAATGCAACAAAACTATGAAAAATTTCTATGTATCTGAAACTATTTTGTCTTGTTCAGTCCTCCATTAAAAAAAATTATACTGAAATAGTTGAAATTTTCCATTTTAAACAATATAATTCTGAAATTAAAATTATGTTGTGTACTTTATAGTTCTTTTCTGTTAAATTTAGCTTTATTCGTATATGGAGCAAGTTATACTTCTTTTTTGAGCTCAGAAGAAGTTAAGACTTAAAGCAAGTTATACTTGTTGTCCCTTTTTAAAAGTATTTTTATTTTAGCATATGCATACTATTGTAAAATATGTCTTGATTATTTTGAAAAGTATTGTACTTATTTTTTCATTTGCTAATTTTGATATTAATGGTATTTTTGTAAATACTATTGAATTGTTATATTTTGCATTTTCAGCCACACCTGGTAGATTGGTTGATCATCTTGAAAATACAAAAGGATTTAACCTTAAAGCTTTGAAATTTCTGGTATATATTGTTGATTATTTTTTCTGCTGCTTTTTATTAATAAATTTGTTACTATTAATTATTCTGATACAGTATTGAAAAAATAATGATAAGTAGAAGTTACAATAGTATTTAAGTATTTTAGAGATCCAATATTTATTATGTCTTTAAGTAAATATTTTTTTTTCTGTCATATCACCATAAATTTCATCATCATGTGCAGTTTCATTTCATGAAATATCATGTACTATATTCATTCAGTAAATGAAGTAGATAGACAGAGTTCTCCCTCGGGAAAAAATGGGCAGGGCACTTCCTCTCAGAAAAGAGTACTTTGAGTTTTTAAAGGGCACTCACTTAACATCATTAAAATTTATCAAAATATGTAATATAGTGTAGTGACTGAATTTGATCCTCAATTTTTAAATTATCCTTTCATACTATTTTATGTGTCATTTCGCAAAGTGATTCTCATTATCAAAATCAATATCAATAACAGAAAAAGTTTCTTTATCAATAACAGAAAAAATTGAAGTTTTTGAAAAATAATTAAATACAAGCTGAAAGGAAATCTCTGTGCATAAATTTTCTTTAAAAAAAAAAGGGATTAATTGATGAACAACTTTCAAATTTTTTTGTTACATTTGAAACTGAAAATTATGAGAAAATAAATATTTGAAGAAGCATTTAAATCCAAAGGTATTTATTAAAAAAAAATTATGTTAAAAAAGTTATCTTAAAAATTTAAAATCGCTAAAAAATTCAGTAATATAAAAGATGTAAATATTTGTGAGACTGAATCACATACAAATATTAGCTATATAACTAGAGAACATAAGAAAATTCTTAATGTAATCAAGGAATGAAATTAAAAATTAGTTAAGTAATTATCAGTAACAAAATAAATCAGAAATGGACATTTCAATGAGTGGTTAAGAAAAAAATCTTTTCCTGAAAAAAAAGCAGTGTTTTTAAGGTATGGCAGATCAGGGAGAACACTGGATAGAAATTCATCATGTTTTACTGATTCATGTAATCAGACATATTTAAACAAAATAAAAGATTTTGTTATAAGTAATTTATTAATATTAATTAATACATAAAATCAGTAAATTTTGTTTTAATCATATTGTTTATTAATACATATACTGATTGTTGCATGTTATACATTTTCAAAGAAATTACAATATACTTTGTAAATAGATTAATATATATTTTAGATTTACATTAGAAAGTTCTGTAAAGTTCAACTTTCCTTATTGATTTTTGTCCTCTCTCTTTGAAGGGATTTTAGTCTTTATTGCTTTTAGTAGCAACACGGAATCTATAGTATTAGTATTTTAAGTGTAAATCAAATGGTTAAAAGTCTTACACAAACCTGATGCCTTGCTGCTCTTTAAAATATATAGACAAAGTACAAGGCAGTGGAATTAAAATCATCAAATGCTTTGTGCATCCCATAAACATCACTACTAGAATAAAAGATTAGTCAGCAAATTACAAAGAAATATTGTCTAGATCTAAAAAGAAAGGACTTCAAAAATGAAAAGAAAAACAAACCTATTTAAAAGCGAAATAGTTTAACAATCTATTCAACCATTGACTTTTTTTTAGAAAAAATGAATTTTTAAAAAATTAAAGTTTTTATTAAAAGTTCTGATAAAAGTGTCCTAAAAATTTATTTAATTGTCATTTAATATATAAAAATAAGATAAAAGCTAACCCTTATAACAAAGATTACGGAAAAATCTTAATTAAAGATATATATTTCATCACTAAAATGAGGCTAGATCAATTAAACAGAGATCAAAATTATTTTAATTCTATTAGAAATCCTATTGTCTTTAGTACTTCCTTTTAATAAATTTTTTTTCCTCCCAAACTTGAATAAAAGATCAGACTTAACCATAGGTGTTAAGCTTAATTGAAAAAAGAACTGAAAATTCACTTTAAATTTTAAAAAATATTGTAAATTGTGTAATTAATGTTTTTTCCTTGCTTCGGTTTGAAGTCAGATAAAATTTAATACCGATTTCATGTTTAGATCTGGGATAGATTCCTCAATATTGTTTTAATATTTGAGGGAAATAGAGTGAAAGTGGATTTTCCTAATATTTTGCCAAAAAGTGCTTGTCAGAAAAATGAATGCCTTTCTAGGGCACTTGGTTTATAGGTGATAGGCTTCACTTAAGAAATATAATTTAAGTCATTAAAGGAAATTAATAATAAAATAATTAAGCTTTGAGATGTGACTCATCTGATCACTATTTAACCTCCAGTTGTAAATCATATCTGCATAATAAAATTTTGGGCACTGATTTGTTACTAATACCCAATTGTTTGTTGATGATTTTTTTTACGCCATCCAACTTTGGTGCATTTTGATTGGTGCCAATTTCGCAACATCCCAGAATGAAAGCAAATACTCCAATTCTATTAAATTATGATTTCATCAGTATTACATATGTTTTTTTTTATCTCAACATTACATTTCATAAGTGCCGTGGTTAACTTTATATAAATTAGATATTTACTATAACTTAAACATCTTTTCAATGAGAAATATGGTACTGTTTATTAATATATGACAGATATCAAAAGGCAACTTAACTAAATATGACAATAGATGAAAGACAATGATAATAACAGATTCATGACAATGATAATAACATTCTAACATCAGTAGTCAGCATTGAACATGCGAACACTATTTGATAAAAGTAAACTGTTAGGATTGTCTTTAATTTAAAAATGGTTTATATAAATGCTATTCCATGACATTAAAAAGGTATGGTATAGTGTTGTATTTGTATACTTTGCTCACCAGTTGACAGACCACATACTCACCTAAACAGGTGTAAACACTAAAGACTTTTGTTAGTTACGTCCATTGATCTACACATATGATTTTGTCAAAATGTAAGCATTTGATGTATTTTTGATTTTCAGTAGTGTCATTAAAGTATCTGTAAACATTTTGTTTTAAACTTCAGAATTTTACTTGGAAAAGATTACTGATAAAAACCATCTCTGTTACAAAGAATAATTTTTCTTTTATTTCAGTTTTTTGTCCTCAAGTATGATATAATTTTTTTTTTTTCTTCATGTATATTATTTCCAAAAAATATTTTTTATTTTGATTTTTCACTAGATAATGGATGAAGCAGATAGAATTCTAGATATGGATTTTGAGCAAGAAGTTGATAAGATTTTAAAGGCTATTCCAAGAGAAAGGAAAACCTATTTATATTCTGCTACAATGACACAAAAAGTATGTGATAGCTTTCGAAAAGTTCAATTATTTTGTTACTAGTTTTTATTTTTTGTGCATTGTATTTTGTATTTAAAAATAGATTTTTTTTTCGTTTTCTAAGAATAAATTAATAAAAGTTTCCCCAATTGGTCAGAGTGGGGGTGCAATTTTTTTCCTGAGTTTTAATTTCTGAAATGATGATTTTAATTTTTTTAAATGTTTATAATGAAAAGCTAAAACAACTTAAGTTAGTATAAGCTAACTTTTTTTTATATTAATAATTCTTATTCTTTTATTTAATTAAATACTTAGTTATATAATTAAATTCTGTTAAATATCAGTCTTATCAAATATAATAACTTTTTTCCATCTATTTCTCTCCTTATGATTCCCTTTATATGCCATATCAAACATTTGGGTGTGGTTAATTAACATGTTATGATATTTCTGATTGAATAGTTTGTCTTTGAAGATATTTTGCAATTTGTAAATTTTAAGTATTAATTGTAATTTAAGTTAATTGTTGCATATAAACTTTAATGTAAATTTTTTAGTTAAAGAAAGAAATATTTTTTAAGTGCCTGAAAAGTGCTTATTTTTTTGTTAAAATTTGACTATACTCTTTAAAATATGTTTGTTTTCGCATTTAACTTACCATGAATCACTCAATGTAAAAATCTTAAAACTGCAAAACTATAGCAGTAACAGAGAGTATGAGTTTGTTTATAAAAAGGAGAAAATAAAGGAATTTTGTTTATTAAAAGGAGATGTTGCAAACTAATGATTAGATTCTATACCTCACCTCATGCAATTTCTGCTGTCTTTGTCTCTCTGTGTATGTATTGCTTACTGAATATTTGCAAAGCACAAAATCTTATAGTGATGAAAAAGATACCACCACCATTTAGTCTCCAAATATTTAAAGTTTGCTAAAAAGTTTGCAAACTTCTATAGAATCGATAGATAATGTATATGTGATNTGAAAGCCACACATATGTCTTTTTTTAATACAACATTACATTTCATAAGTTATATAAATTAGAACTTCAGATACTTGCTATAACTTCAGCATTTTTTTACTGAGAAATATGGCGCAGTTTATAAATGTATGAGAGATATCAAAAGGAAACTTAAACTAAATATGACAATAGATGAAAGACAATGATAATAACAGATTTTATCTAACATCAGCAGTCAGCATTGAAATATGAGGGACAGTTTTTTTACTTAGACATTTGATTTACATAGGATAGATGCGAACACTATTTAATAAAAGTAAATTGTTATGATTGTCTTTAATTTAAAAATGGTGTATACAAGTGCTATTCTATGACATTAAAAAGGTATGGTTTGGTGTTGTATTTGTATAATTTGCTCACCAGTTGACAGACCACATGTTCATCTAAACGGGTGTAAACAAAACTAAAAACTTTTGCTAGCTACATCCATTGATCTGCTATATGATTTTATCAAAATGTAAGACATTTGATGTATGTTTTAATTTCAGTACTGTTGTTAAAATGTCTTTGTAAGCATTTTGTTTTTAACTTTAGAAATTTACCTGGAAAAGATTACTGATAAACCATCTCTGTTACAAAGAATAATTTTTCTTTTATTTCAGTTTTTTGTCCTCAAGTATGATAAAAAATGCAAATAAGAAATTTTTTCACGTATATAATTTCTAAAAAATGTTTTTTATTTTGATTTTTCACTAGATAATGGATGAAGCAGATAGAATTCTAGATATGGATTTTGAGCAAGAAGTTGATAAGATTTTAAAGGCTATTCCAAGAGAAAGGAAAACATATTTATATTCTGCTACAATGACACAAAAAGTATGTGATAGCTTTCAAAAAGTTCAACTATTTTGTTGCCAGTTTTTATTTTTTGTGCATTGTATTTTGTATTTAAAAATAGAATTTTTTGTTTTCTAAGAATAAATTAATAAAAGTTTCCCTAATTGGTCAGAATGGGGATGTAATTTTTTTCCCTGAGTTTTAATTTCTGAAATGATGATTTTTATTTTTTGAAATGATTACCATGAAAAGTTGAAACAACTTAAATAAAAAAAAAATAGTGTGAGCTAACTTTTTTTTATATCTTATTATATTATATCTTTTTATATCTTATTCATTTATTTAATTAAATGCTTAGTTATATAATTAAACTCTGTTCAATGTCGGTCTTATCAAATTTAATAACTTTTTTCTATCTATTTCTCTCCTTATGATTCCCCTTATTTGCCCTATCAGACATTTAGGATTGATTTCTGATTGGTTTGTCTTTGAAGATATTTTGCAATTTGTTAATTTTGAGTATTTTCAGTATGCAGATGTAACTTAAACAATAGAAGGGAAAAATTTTGTTTCATATAGCTTTAATGTAAATTTTTTAGTTAAAAAAAGAGATATTTTTTAAGTGCCTAAAAAGTGCTTATTTTTTATTAAAATTTGACTATACTCTTTAAAATATGTTTGTTTCCGCACATAACTTACCATGAATCGCTCAATGTAAAAATCTTAAAACTGCAAAACTGTAGCAGTAACAGTATGAGTTTGTTTATAAAAAGGAGAAAATAAAAGAATTTTGTTTATTAAAAGGAGATGTTGCAAACTTATGATTAGATTCTATGCCTAATGCAATTTCTGCTGCCTATGTATCTCTGTGTATGTATTGTTAACTGAATATTTGTAAAGCACAAAATCTTATAGTAATGAAAAAGATACCACCACCATTTAGTCTCCAAATATTTAGAGTTTGTTAAAAAATTTGCAAACTTCTATAGAATCAATAGATAATGTATATGTGATTGATATTATTTTTCTTTATACATGTTGTATGTAGAACATTTGTTGTGTTCAATGCATTCAATTTCATAAAAACTCACATATTATTTCTCTTCAATGTAAACCATCGATGAAATAGAAACCTTTTTAAGCGTTTCCTCTTAATTTTGTTGTTTATAGCTTTGAATTTTGATAATTTCTGATGTCTCAAGTTTACATTCAAATTGCTTCAGTCCCTATGTTATCATTATTAATGAATTATGCTGTATATATTTACTAATTGAGTATATTTAAGTGTGCATGCATGTTTTCAATCTATTTAAAGTTATATATATATATTAATTATCGTTATATATGCACTATGATACTTAAAGTTATTTTCTTTTATCTCCTTTAGGTTCAGAAATTGCAAAGAGCATCACTCTCAGACCCAGTCAAAGTTGAAGTTTCCAAGAAGTATCAAACAGTTGAAAAATTGCAGCAGTATTATGTTTTTGTGCCTCTGAAACATAAGGTGATGATAACAAATTCATGCAATTTTTTTCTTCTTTTTGCAGAAATGTTTTTTTTTTAAAGAATTATATTTAGATTATTTAGTTCTTGTCTTATTTAATGATCGGGTTTTAGCTTTAAGAAATTTTTATTTAAATATTTAAAAATACTTTTTTGTTAAATACCTTATTACCATAAAGCCATACCTAATGAATCTCTAAGAGATTCATTCATGAAGACATCCATTATCTTAATATTATTCCACTTCACTTGGTCAATTTCATTTCTATTTGGTTTATAAGTGCTTTTGTTTAAAACTAAATCTGCATCAATTTTATTTTATTATTCTTTATCAAATTTATTCATTTATTTACTGTGTTTGTTTCCTTGCCAAACATTCATTCCTTATAATCTTAAAAACTTGTTTTATTTTTTTAATAATGTATGAGTTTTATGTTTTTGAATAACATGAACTTAGCTGAAAATGAGTGAGGATATCAATGTTAGCAGTATGTCAAAATTGGGTTAAAAGTTTCTATAAGTGCATTGAAAGCCACCTAAAGACATGCAATAAAATAGGAAAATGTATATTTTAAAATTATACATTCTAATTTACAGATATAATTATCTTCTTAATTTGTATCTTAAAAATGTGATAAAGAAATGTGATAGTCTTTCTGAAAAATATTTTTGATTTGGATTATACTGTCAAATGCAGATTTTATTAGGTAAGGAGTCACAACTCAAACTATTACCATTCCTGAAATTTGCTCCGTTTTCACTGCTGAAGCTGTTGCTATTTTATTAGCATTACAACTAATTTCTACTCGCTCTACTCGGAAATATTTTATAGTATGAGCGTTTTGAGCCAATTAGAAAAGTTTCACTGTGACACTCATCCAATTTTATGCTTCATTATTCATATGTTAATCACGCTTCAGAAGAATGGCTTCGAGATTTTATTTTGCTGGGTACCGAGTCATGTTGGTATTCCAGGGAATGACCAAGCCGACTCAGCTGCACGATCTGCCACATCTACTTTACCATTGTCCATACCTTTCTCTGATGTAAAACTGCATATTCGGAAATTTGTGACATCATTGTGGCAACAACAGTGGGATCTCAAAGTGTTTAATAAATTGCATAGCATTAAAACCGATTTGGGTCATTTGCCAGTACTGCCCTTGCGTAGTGCTGATGTAAAGCTTACACGTCTTCGAATTGGTCATACCCGGTTAACACACCTCCACTTACTGTTTGGAGAGCCTCCTCCTCTATGCAATACCTGTAACGTTCCTCTCTCGATTCATCACATTTTAATAACATGTCCATGTTTTGACCAACTTCATTTAACGTTTTTTGGGAGTTCCATTTTATGTATGCAGGATTTGTTAGATGATATTCATCATCCTAACATTTTTGCATATTTACGTGCTGTTGGTATTTTTAACTGTATATAAATTTTTTGATACATTTGCAATTTTATTCACTTTCGCAAACACTTTACTTACTATATGTATTTTATATCATATTCACACCTTTTATCTGATTTTATTCATGCCTTTTACCTGATTTTATTCATACCATTTATCTGATTCTATTTACAAACTTGTACCATTTACAAACTTATACCATTTTATCAGTTATAATTGTACGACAAATAAAGTGGTGCATGTACTTTGCCTTTTTAACTGTTTTACCGTACTGTTTGGCGCAGCATGTCCTCGTTTGGACTTTGTGCCACTAAACCCTACATTCAATTCAATTCAATTCT